CCTCTCTTAGTTCTTTAGAGACGTTAGATAGAGAGGAGATTTGGTCTCCTAGAATTGTAGAGTTTTTTTTGTTTACTCTGCCGTTCTCTGTAAAGTCTCTAAAGACTTCTACAAGGTCTAGTAAACTAGTTTGCCTAGTAGGGTTGTTCTCAGCTAGGTTAGCTGCTTGGATTACTAGGTTTCTAGCAATCTCTAAGGCCTCCTCAATAGAGGTTGCCTTTGGTGTTTTCCCTACTGTAGGGTATCTTGGCACTGCTCCAATAAATGGAGAAAAATTGCTTCTTGTCCTAGTATGGGTAGGCCTAGGCGGTTCTTCTGGTTGCCTGTTAGGGCACGGCGTAGGGGCCTCCTCAGCCATCTCGATTTCTGGATTATTATCCATTAGTCGTTTGCTTGTGCCTCTAAGGTCCTTTGAGGCTAGTCTTTTTTTGTTATTTTTATTGTTTTGATATGTCTGTGTTTCTTGCTGAATTTGAGCTTCAATAAGCTCCTGCGTTCCTATTGGCCCCTCTAGTCTTGGCATTAGAGCCCAAGCTCTGTGAGAAAATTCTCACAGGCGTGAGAAAACGAAGGAAGGCCTCCTTCTTCTCCCTACTGCGCGCTAGCGCCTTAGCTGCAGGTGTTAAAAGTGCTGTTAGTCGATTCCTCGTGGTCGGTTCTCCTAGATAGCGTGCTTTCCTAGCGGTTTCCAGAAAACTCGAAGTTGGTAGCGTGGTGTAGCTGACTTGCAATGCGGGTGGTTCGATGTGACGATGACGGAATGTGGGTTATCTCCGGTAACGCCGACCCAAAGCTGTTCCTCCACAGTCCAAGAGACATGGAGCTTGCAAAATGGCTGGTTTTCTTACTTTACATATCATGTCCTTTTCCAATACTCCAGTAAGGAAGTTGTTGGGTTTATTTTTATCATAGTTTTCTTATGGGTCAGCCTAGCTGTTGTCTTCTAAAAGTACAGAGCACCACTACCACCACCACGATCTGTGCCATCTTTTGTCTCCATTTCGTTCATATCTTTGAGACACCATAGTCATTTTTCACAAAGCAACTTCTCATCCAAAAATCCTGGAGATTGATCATTTTGACCTCCTGAAAGCAAGAATAGATGAAACATTACGTACCCCTTCCAAAGATCAGTTTAGCCGCTTCCGCGACCTCCACGGCCTCCACGGCCTCCATTCCCTCCCAAGTTACCAGTTCCCGGTCCATGCCCTCCCCCTCTTCCTCCGCCTCGTCCTCCACCTATCGATTCAAAAAAGATGCCTGGGAATAATCCAGGGCCATCATTTGATGAAGGTCCAAGCACGCCTCCACCACGACCAAATGGACCGGGGCCATGATGAAAGGGGCCACCTCGCCCACCGGAGCCAACTGCGTCACGACCACGACCACGAGCAGCCGCAGACCTAGTGTTGGAGCTTGGAGGGCCTGAAGAGCTTTCCGGTGTATATCCAGCATGGGGTGGCATGCATAACCCCCACATACCGGGAGTGCTTGTATTATGGCTGGGGATCTGGCCTCTACCCACGTATCCCCCATGGCCAGGCGAAGCAGGAGCGTAGTTAACATGCTGAGCGGTGCTTTGCATAAACTGAGGGACTGGTGGCGGCGGTGGTTGTGGCTGCGGCGGTGTGTGAGGCATGCTTGGAAAAGAACCAGGATGCGGCATCAGAGAGGGAGGTGACACAAATGACGGAAGAGCCCCTGGGTTCGGTAGTAAAGGTTTCGATCCTGGAGGTTTTGGAGTTGGAGGTGGAGCAACACATTTAATCTTGTATGTAGCTCCGTAGCTCTGCAAGGCGGTCTCCAAACTGGACATCATGCTATACACGGCCGAGGTCATCACTGTGTTGCCAAGGGCATATAAGTATGAATTTTCGAATTCGGACCAGTCTTGGAAGTCTGCTCCGGTCCGCTGGGAGCGCTTCAGAGGTTGCTTTTCGATGTCATTAGCCCATTCTTCTACTCTCTTGAGGATGGCGTCGCCATGCTGCGTGAAATGGTGGGCAACCACATCTTTCCACAACCCGGGGGGCTTTTCTAACCATTCAAGTAATGCATAGCGAATTGTATCGCCCTGCAGCTTCTGGTTATATCTCTCTGATGGACTACCTGCGGTGCTTTGGTGGTAGCCTACTTCCCTTCCTGGCTCATTGTACCACGGCTCTTCGCATAGAATCATCGCCTGAATGGAGATGAGCACCTGAAGCAGCGTCGACTCCCCAGGTTTCCAAGGTTCTCCTGTCCATGTACCGAGCAAGGAAAGACAAACTTTTCCATCAGCATAGAGGTTTGGATTGATCGAGATTGTTCCGCCTCCGGTACCCTTGAATGAGACATAGGGAGGAGAATTGGGAAAGTTGGGGCCGCAGTAGAAATCGAACTCGAAAATGCCATTCTCATACGGTGTCCCGAGTGGCCCAATGATGGCGCACTTGAGAACATCTGGCCTGTTTTCGCAATATCGAACATATATTCCAGGGGGTAGGCTTGTTTGCAATGTGCTAATCTCGGTGATGATGCGCTTGAACCGACCAGGTTGCGAAAATGTCAAACTTTTCGCGTTCTGAGCGTATTTGTGCGTAGGGAATATGTCTTTCTCCTCAACGCCCCTGATCACAAGATCCTCGGGAATGGCTGCAGCTGTATTCTTGTCCTCTGTTCTGGTATTTACCTCGATAAATAGTGCAAGTTTCGACACTTGGTGGCAAATCCGCAGCATGGTCTGGCCGTCGTCGCTTGCAAAGTCATCCTCTTTGCTGTTTGCGCTTTTCAGAACCAAAGAGCTCGGCTTGTAAATAATATGCAGGTAACTGGCAAGAGCCGGAACCCTCTCCTCTGGTTCGGGAGCCGCCGCACAGAATGACAGCGTAAGGAGATCGATAGTTTCAGGACGTGTGGAACGAGGTGCGAACAGCCCTTCACTGGTCTTGGGGTGCGATCCCATCATGGTCATGAAGCTGAATAGCGTCTGGTATAGGTGCTCGCGCTTAACGATGTCAATGATTGAATCATTTCGCAAGAGTTCGGTGCAATAAGTGAGTATTTTGCTACCCTGGAGCATCTCGAGAACCGCGCCGGGTGGGTTAAAGTCGAAACGTGTCGCTCGCTCCAACGATGGAAGAAGGTCGGTCAAGAAGCCAAGGATTAGCATGCCGAATCTGTCCTCGCTCATCTGTGCACTCCTCGCCTTCGCAATGCCCTTTGCCTTTTTGTCGCCAATCAAAGGAGGCTTCGACTGGCTCGGCATATGACCATGCTCGGCAAAGAAGTCATATGATTTCACGAGTTCCAAGTAATCTTCCATATCTATATCCTCAATGTCTTCCAGATCGCTAATCCCGTCGGCATTGGTGCCGTAACCTCTCCCCCTGGGCATGAAGCTCTGGTGAAGCATCCCACTGGCGTCACGCCTTGGTCTTTTTCCTTTCTTATTGGGATTAGATTTCTTCGAGGTTGCATCCGAATTTGCCTTGTTGTCAGTAACGCCGATTTTTTTGGACTCATGTAAATGCCGATCGAATCCGCAAAGCAATACCCATATGATGAACAGCCTACCCCCAACACAGCACCAGGAGACGCACTGTTTCTTCTCTTGAAACCCAATCTTGGATGGCCTGGAGAAGGGCTCGGGAATACAGGCGATGCATGAAGACGTCCCGCAACTCTTGCATTTGATGACGCATGACAGCTGCTTGACCACGCCGTCGGCCCAGTCTTGGAATAGGGTACGAATATCGAGCTCCGACGAAAAGAAGGGCTCCTTACATGTGCGGCACCAAGCACTCTTGATATGATGTGTGAATTCTGCAAAGCTGTTCCGAGTTAGGTAGTTGGACGCGGTCTCCTGCTCATATTTTGCCACTCTAGTCTTGTCATCTTCCGACTCTCCCGCAGGCCGGCCCACTGGAGTATCTGATGCGCTGGACGAGGAATGGGACGTGGATTGTTGCTGTCTCGTTCGCTCTTGTATTATTTTTTCGCACTTAGCGATGTCCTGGCTGGTGGTTCTTGAGTTGAATGGCTGCTGAGCGCCTGCAGACAGAACGTCTGTGCTCTCCCACCCAGCAGACAGTGCCTCGTCCAAGAGGTGGTAGGGGTTGTATTCGGCTTCTTCGACATTCTTCGCATTCATTTTGTGCTTATGCTGGTGGTGTTGGTGGTTGGGGCTTGTGTGGCACTGAGGACTGCGCGCGGAGTTCCGGGGTGTAGGGTGAGACCGAGGGCGTGTGGAGTAGTGGAGGTTCAAGCGGGCTGAGACCAAGTGCGTGGAGCGGGCACAGTTACGTGTGTAGTGTGTAGATCAGGAGAATCCGCGAGGCTGATGCCGACTACAGTTGCAGTCCGCGCGGCAGTCGGCCTTGGCTGGAACGCCGTATATGTAGTGAGTGGCAATGTCAAACAAGAATAAAGGCGCCGGCGGCGGTCTGTGTGGTCAGTCAATCTGGCAAAGAGAAAGACAGAAGTGAATGCGAAGAGACAGCAGCCAAGGTGGAAAGAGGGTCTCTGAACCACTGGTACGTGCCGTCGCACTTACCCAATAGGAGTGTTACACAAGCGGCAGGGCTAAGTAAGGCCCAGCCTGCCGGGCTGAGCATATGACGTGGATGCCTCGATGCCTCGCGCCTTAGCACTAGCGACTACCGGTGCCGGTGCATCAGCCTTGTGGCAAATACTCATGGGCGAGCTAGTCAGCTGTTACGGTTGCTCGAAGGGCCGGATATCACTGCCTTGGCGTTGCTTGAAAGTCAGACATGCACCATGCAGACGGGACAGACAGACCGCAGACGTAGTACCAGCTATCCAGTCGACTGCAACTCCGCCTTCCACGAACAAAGACACGCGCATCTGGTACCCCAAAAACATCATCAATTTTGGTGCCGCCTACTACTGGCTCAGGGGAACATGATTACAGCATGACTAATCCGATACCACCCATATGCTCCTTGCTCGCCTGGTTCCTTGAGTCGATGCCGCCAGGGATCGGCGCAGCGCGGTAGTTGTAGAAGTAGTAATGTAGTGAACCGTCTCCAGCACCGAAGCGCTGATCTTCCAGGAACAGGGGGTTGTCAAGCAGCGTGAGGGCATTGAACACGTCGAAATCGGCCTAGTCGTGTTAGCAGGGCGCGCAGCTTGGGGACCGCCAGCGTGCTCACCTTCTTCGCCAGAATCAGCGCGTCCTTCATCAACAGGTTCAACCGCTGCTTCAGCTTGGCCTGGTCATCCTCGAATGCAACCTCGGTACCGTAGTAGAAGAGATACGCCGCCTTGATGGTGTTGTGCTTCTTGTTGCCAATGACGGTACTCTCGAGGTTGTAGAAGGAAAAGTAGTCGGTAATCTTGTGGGTTTGCGGGTCCTCCACTACATAGCTCCAGACGACCTGCTCCTTGGGCTTCTCTTTGGGTGCCATCCAGTGCTCAAACTCGGTCTTGCTGAACACCTGTGCCATGTCCATGCGTTCGAGATATCGCTTTAGGAGATCAAGCGCTGCGTCGACATCCTTGGCCTCCATTTCGCGCAGTCCGGGCGTGGATGTAGTGTCTGGAAGCTTGTACCGTATGACCTGGCGCTGCTTGGTGCTACCGCGGGGAAGAGGAGAAAAGCCGACATCGTACAGCTTCTCCCAGTCGATGGCGCGATGGAAATAGCGGGCGGTAGAAACAGGTGTGGGTAATAGCGAGCCAACAGTGTATACAGCCTGGAATGTGCCTTCAACATAGCAGCGGCGGGTAATCTCCTTGATAAGCACAGGTGCTAACCGCTTCGACCGGAGCTTCTTGTGGACACAGAGAAAGTTGACTTCGGAGCAGTTGAGGAGCTTGTCGCGGACGCGCATCTGTATCGGAATACCGGAAATGAATGCGACGAGCTTGCCTGACGCAGTCGCGCGGACACCAACGTGCCATTCTTTCTTCCAGCCGGGTGCCTTGAGAGCCCTACAGCCGTTAGCTCCAGCCAGCCTTTTCCTCATGAAACATACTCACCAGTTTAGGAACGACGGCGAGTACTTGAACCGGAACGTCGCATCCTTGTCCTCAACGTAATGGTTTGTGAGCAGCTCGTAGACCTCTTCCAGCTGCTTCTCGTCTTCCAAATCCATAGTCACCCATTCAAAACCGGGGTACATTGGGCTTGGGTTCTTATCAACCTTGTCGATATCAATCTCCTTGATTGGGCCGTCCTTGATCTTGTCCTTGCTTGCCATCTCGTCGAAGCTGGGAACGGGCTGTGTTTTCCAGAACGCGTGGTTGGCCATGTCCTTTTGGCCGCCTTGCGGTGCCAGCCCTGTCAACATGTCGTTGATGTTGAGCTTCTGGATCAACTTTTGCAGGTCCTCCTTGTTGTTCACCTTGCCTTGGAGCTCGTTCGCAAGGCTAGGGTTGCTTGCGAGTAGCATATTCATGACTTCCTTAGGCAGAATTCCTCCCGCCGGCGCATCCAAGTCTGTGACCTCACCCGCCTTTCCCTTGCCGCTGAGGGCGTCCTTGACCTTGTCTTTCCTACTCTTCTTCTTTCCAGCAGCGCCCTCGGCGCCTTCTACTGTCTCAGTCTCCTCATCGCCGCTTTCATGTGCAGACTCGGCCTCTGCTTGTTTGCTCGATTCGGCGACAGCTTCGGCTGCTGCTTGGGAAGTCACGTCGGGGTCAGCAATCTTGGAAGATTCCTGAGGCATTGCGGGAGAGTTGAGGAAATTATGGCGGGATCGGCCGTGGCGTAGAGGGGGCAAGGTGGTGTGGCGGGTGTTTGTGTCAACCAGCTAGGAACAGGTAATTGAGTGCAGGCCAGGTGGGGCATGCATGGCGGGGTAGCGCTAGACGCTCCATTGCCTCATCTGCTAACAATATCGACATTTCCTCTTTGCTGTCAACCATGATTACTCCATGGCAGCATTTTGAAGCTATGCTATCTATAGATTAGAGCTAGGGTAGTTGATACGCACCTCACGTGATCATCGCAATGCGCCCTTGACGCCTCCTGTGTATACTCGTCTCGGTCTCTTCAACCCGCATTGCGCTAGACATCCTCAAATAAGTACATATACGAACCTATGAAGAAAACCAATGGGTATCTTCGAGAGAGAGAAAAAGCGGGAGGCCTTGGTTACCTGCCAACTGAAGCAAGATAGAAGAAGAGCAAAAAAGTCAAGAAAGAGCAATACAAAGTTTGCAAACAAGGCAGAATCATAAAACCAAAGAACAATAAAACAGAAAACGGAAAACCAGACAAGTAACTCATCGCAGATATGACAAACCCACAAGTCCAGCCATCATACAGTGTACAGCAAAGCATCAGTCGGAATTTGAATTATCTCTCAGACCCGCCCCCCATCTCCCGCAGACAGCGCACCCACCTTCCCCTCCCCCATCAAGCAAAGTTCTTCCTGTAAACCGGGAGATCCCCCCGTCTGGGCTCACCCCTAGGACAAGGATCGGCCGCATACGCCCTCAGCGGCACAGCCGAAGAAATCAGAACCGCATGTTTCCTCAGTGGCGTAGCGCCAAACCGCATTCCTTTCGTGAAGCCGCGCAGTCCCTCGCTGCTGAACGGCGTGGATTTTTGTTTTGGAGCAGCAAACTCAGTCCACTGGTCCAGACGCCCGTCAGCAGCAAAATCTTCAATCTGCGGGCCGAACTGCTGCGCAGGATTGGTGATGGGCCGCGCGCGCTTGGCCGTGATGTCGAAGGGGTTGTTGGTTGTGGTGTACGACGGGATGTTCATTCCAGGGATCACGCCGGAGAAGACCCAGTGGTCTTTGAGGAACGGGTCGAAGTGGTCTGGGACGTGGCCGCGGAGCAGTGGGTGCCGCTTGAGAATGGCGGACATGCGGTGAGGCTCGCGAGCAATGTCCATTGCGAAGTTTTCGACGTTACGCCGGTATTCGTGGCCCAGGTCGTGGTCTTTACGACGCGTGTGCTCGTTGTAGCCAAGGTAGAGGCCCGTTTGCTGATCGGGGACCGGGGTGAATTTGATGAGACTGGGTTGGTAGGGATGTTCGGCGTAGAGGTCATTGGGCCTCCTGCCGTTGATTATGTTGTGGTGAGCGTTCAACATGCTGCAAGCCAGGAGACGAAGGTAGTTGTTGTCTGAGACGACTTCTAGGAGCGTGCGTCGGTAGCCAACGCATTTGTTGGCAAGTTCGTGAACATAGTCAGGCTTGCCTTGTTGTGTGATACTCTTGGGCTCCCTTCGTGCTTCGGCGAGATCCTCTTCAGTCGCCTTGAGCCTCAGGTACAAGAGGGCAGTTTTGCACCAATTGTATGATGACGTTTCCATGAAGGCGTTGAAGGTTTCATGCGCGTAGCTGTTGGGGTTCTCTACCTTCTTTCCATCGATACCAAATGTCTCGAATGCGAAAAAGACAATGGCGCGTCTGTACCAGGCTTGTAGAAGCTGCACAAAACTCTGAATACTACCGCAGAACGCGGTGACAAGTGTATAGAGTTTATCAATGACCATGCGGACGTTTCTCAAGATGCACTTGAAGCAAGCCATCCATACTGGCCAAGACAAGTCATCACCATCGAGCCCAAAAATGATTTGCAACGTGACCCAATAGACATCTTTCGCATGACGACGAATGTGCGTGCAGGATTGAAGACGGAGCTTGAACAGAAGAATAAAAGAATTCCAAGCCAGAAAAGACAGATCCGTCGCAATGGCCTTGAACATCTGAGATTGTGTCGGGCGGTTCGGTAGGATGCTGTATGTCCTCGGAAATAGGAACTCGCTAGTGGAGTTTCTGGTTAACCACCGCTCACCGGTATTTTTGATGTGCTTTTTGATCGTTCCATCATTGTACCATTGAATAGATCGCCTGGCTGTCCACTTCCTCAAAGCACGGACGCATTGGATCGCCAATGGTCCCGCAGCGACTGCCCATTGAGCCAGCAATCGAGCGCCCTGGGCGGCTCTCAGCTTGAGCGATAGCCACATGAAGCATACAATTGCAATGAGAATATATGTGATGAGGAAAGTCAGTACCATCTGAGGTGTGCAATATCCACAAAGCCAGATGCACTGCGCGATGATTAAGCCAATGTAGTTCATCTGCCATGCAGCATAATCAAAATAGTTCTTGATATATTCAGGAATTGCATCCATCCTTTGAATGACAGTGTGTATATCCTTCCTTTTGATGAGAATTTGGTAGCTCAGAAAAACCATCATCGTGGAAAAAGCCAACAGGACACCCATGATCAGATCAAGCCTGGAGTATTGTGGATCCGAGAGGGAGGAAAACATGGACGTGGACTGCTGAATTGCCGAATCGAAAATAGCTGATTGAGCGTGGCGAACAGACCGAGGCAGTGGAGGGTGGTTGTAGGGGTCGAGTGTAGGACGGGGAGATGGCAAGGTCGACGTGGAAGAGGTAGTGAAAAAGGCGTAGCTAATGGCGCTCGCCGGAACTAACACAACAGCTCAGTCAGATGATGCTTCGAGATAGATATTTGAAGCTACTCACCACCAATGGTCTCAGTAACAGTAACCGTAGGCCACACGCTCGGTGCATTGACAACAAATCTCGTGACCTCGACGACCTCGACGTTGGAGAAAGGCAGCGACGGGGTCAACCATGGACGTAGGCCAAACAAGGCCGGTAAGACCTTGATTGCCCACATGTTTATGGGTGTTACTTGGTTGTTTGCGGGTTCGATGTGGATGTTGTCGTAATCTTCTGTAGTCTCGCAGGGCGTCTGCCCAGTTCCAGCGTACGTGTCTTGAACAGTATATAGAGAATAGATAGAAGAATTTGGTATAAGTCTGCTGGATTGCTTGTCAAGTATTTGCCGTAGACTGTGTTGTGTGCGATGCAGATCGATACTGTTGCTCTACAACCTGTATTGTCGCACGGGAGGTGGTGTGCAATCCAGACGCTAGTTATGTCATCAATGAAGGCAAGTTTTCGAGACCTGAAAGAGAAAAGTGGGACATGGAATGGCGAATGAGAAAAGAGTGATACCTGGACTTTCGCGTCACGGCGTTCTTAGTGCGGTAGTGGAAGTGAATGCACCAGGTGCTGCCAAGACCACAACAATAACAACAACACGATGGTGAATTGGTTGACGTAGTTGATTTAACACGTTAGGGAGAGCAAATAGCGCCTGGGCTGTCGTGATACCAAATACGGCAAGTCATTATTATATTCATCATCTGCAGAACATGCATAGTTTGTACGACTTGCATTGTGAGGATGTATTCCATGCAGTATGCTACTTAATAATCTAAGTTCCTAGATCACGACTGGTATTGTCCAACTCCATCTTAGGGTATATCCCACGGTACAAACATTACATCCAGTGCAGGGGAGGTCATAACAAGCGTCCACAGGACGGGTATAAGAAACAGGTGTTGTTAACGACAGTGAACGAAGGGGAAAGGGCCAGGTTTGTGCTACCATAGGCGAACACTGAGCCTTGTAATAGTACAGGGGTTTTAACAATAAGGAAAATAGATGGTCGATCTGTAGAGATATTGAAAATACAAAATGGGTATCGCTGAGCTGATGATGTAAAGCATCTGGGGATGAACAGACATTGAGTCAAGGCGCTCAAAATTTGAGGGTTTTGGATGAAGGTTTCGACTGTATCGTAGTCCCATTGTTGAACTGAATGGTGAATTTGACCAAGTCTACTTTGAAAGGGCCGGTGTCAACAATGCTACTGCCGGGAAGGCCGTTACGGTTGTTGGTGAGGAGGGTTTGTATCGATTCCTGTGCGGTGGCGGCAGTGTCGAGACTGCCGGTAACTTGCAGCGTAAGAAGAACAGCAATACGGCCGAGATCGAGCGAATTGATGTCGCTCGAGATTGGCTGCGGTATCTGAGCTTTGGTGCCAGCCGAATTCCGGTTGTTCGAGGCTTCACCCTGTCCACTCTGACCGACAGTCTGGCGTTTGACTTGATGGCCTGGTATCTTCGCGGGGTGAAGATGATGGATTGTTGAACGCGTTCGTGAGGGATGAAGTGCCGCTCTCAAATCCATAGCGTACGAAGGCTTGGATACGGATCGGGAAGCCAGGCCGTTGAACGTGATCAGGGCGTTCTCGGCTGCACAGCTGAGAGAGAGGGTTGAAAACAAAGACAGAATACGGACGGGATCAAGGGTCACGTTGTACATGGTATTGGCATCTTCGATGAGGCGCGGAATGGCGGAGCCCGTGGTAGCATTCTTTGCAGTACCTGCAATGGTGACGGTTGTGCATCCAGTGGCATCGTTGTTGGTACATGTACGTCCGGTAAACCCATTGATACAAATGCAGTTGCATGATCGATCTGCGTTCAAGATGGCAACCCCTCCGTTTTGACAAGTAATGACACCGGAACATTGACCGTTGCCTGATCCGGCTGTTTGTGAGGGCATGGGAGGTGGGTTTGTGCTTGGCACATCGTTGCCGCTATTGTTGTTGCCCCGGTTGTCTTGAGCAGCACTGTTGCTAGCCGCCTTGTTTTGGTTAGGGATGACGACCAGGACCACTGGAATAACGACGGCTGCAGCGATGATAAGAAGCAAGATTATGAGGAGTAAGATGAACACCCATAACCGCATACCGCAACATTTCCGACGCTGCTGAGGCTTCTCGTTCTGGACGCCGACATCTACGTAGTTGTTGTTGTTATTGTTGTTGATGTTGTTGTTCGAGTTTCTGACAGAAGGCCACTCAGTGTTGCCACCATTGGTGTTGTTTGGGGTACCGCGGCCCGTACGCTCTGGAGTTTCCTGGCCAGGTGGTGGGAACGCTGCAAGCATTTCGGACAAGCCAGACTGGCGCACATCATTCTTTTCGGGGGCACCGGTTTCCCAGAAATCCATGCCTAGTCGGCTCGCTGTGCGTCCGCGGTCGAGATTGGATGCGAGTCGGGTAGCTCTTCGAATCAGATCGGGCAAACTTGTCAGGCTGCCACGCGCCTCGGCTTCGCGAACGGCCTCCATGTCGAGCCTCGGAGGCCGTCGTGCACCGGCACGGTCCGCCAGCGTGATCGGGCGCAGTTCTTGTGAAAGCGGTGATGAAGTGCTTCCCGCTGCCATTTTATTTCTCAATGTTTGCAGCGTGCTCAGAGAGTCTGACGAAGATTCCCTGCTCAAAGGCGACCTGGATCTGGAAGAGTAACTATCTCTTGCCGCCATCGCTGCGGCTCCCAATCCCATTGCGCCCGCAGCCATTACAGCACCATCCGTCCTCGATTTGGTTGAACTGTCTACCGTTTTGATGGTCATGAGCGATGGTTTGGTTCGCCTGCCCAGACTAGCTTGTCGCACAAGAGTTGGTGATTGCCGGACGAGGCCCCTTTGATCGTCATGGTCCGTGGGCGAGTTGAATCCGGTATTGGTAGAAGACATGTCCTCCTCGTCGGAAAAGGGGTCGTCGTCGGGGTAGAAAGCGTCCTGGTTGCTTGGGAATACATTACTCGATGCAAAGGATCCTCGTTGCGACTGTATTGCTGTAGAATGCGATTCGGACTCTTCGACGATTGGCGATACGTATGACATTTGGGTGTAGTATGACGAGGGTCCTCTTCGTGCAGAGGGCGGCGGGCCTATACTGGGGAATCGCCGAGCTTGTTGTATGCTTGGCATGGGCGGTTGCGGGACAGGGAAATCGGGTATAGATCCCATTGAGGAATCGGACGCGATCGACGAGGTGGTGATAGGACGCGAGGAGCGATACGAGCTCGGCGAAAGCGTGTCATTGGGATGCAGGTAGCCTGGTGATACTGGCGAGGCAAGTTCTGGTGATAGTTGTTGGATTGGATACTCTTCCGACAGGGGGCGTGAGTCTTGAAATAGTTGTGGTGGCTGACCTCTCCGGGGTGAGCGGGGCGGAATGTCAGGAACGGGATCTACCCTTTGGGTTCTGACATTTGGCAGGGGCCATTGCGGTGATGGAGAGCTCGAGTCTGTATCACTCCGGCTGTCAGTGTTGATCTGTAATCGCGATGGACCGGCGCGCTGGAAGGCTTGTTGTTGTTGTTGTTGCTCTTGCTGTTGCTGCTGGCGAAGTTGGTTTGGTCGACGCGGAAGACCGATGATCTTGGAGGTATCTGGAAGTTGGGTCCTCTTTTGCGCAGCCTGCATCCTCTCCCGAGCTGCGCGTACTGAGCCTTTTTTCGCGTATCCATCGCCATCTGCGTCCGTCGCACCGTATGCTCCGGCGCCCAACCTTGGATCGTAACTCATGAATTGAGTGTAGAAATGATGGCGGTTGGTGTGCCAATCGACACTGGGCTGTTATGAAAAAGGTAGTAATGGTGGGCCAGACAGGCCGTAAGTGGCGAGAAGTGCGGACGGGGAGAACGACTGTGTGGCCACTGACGCATATGCGATTGTTGCCAGGCGACGGATGGCCAGCGCGAACATGTAAGAGACGCAGCTGTCAGTCGAAAAGTGAGAGTCTTGGGTTGAAAATGCAAATAACGATGCAAATGGCATTCAGGATAGTGAGTGAAGGTAACAGCCACGAACCCAACCGAAGGATCCGAGACGGCGGAAAGTCGCGTATCCTTGTGCGGACAGTTGCCAGTTATCAGTTGGCCTAGTGAGACAGTGATTAGATGGTTGGCATGCCGAGGGAATGCGCTGTGTCAGACACCGACAGGCCTATGATGGAGCAAAGTCAGAACGGATTACGTGCATGAGAAATGGAACCTAGGCAGGACAGCAACAGAGGATGGTGCAATGCAGAATTGCAGCAGGGCTGCTATCAAGACAGAGTCTATGCATTTCAGCCATGGCAGGCCAGATAGGACGACGGTGGATGCCTAGACGAGCAGGCAGAGGGCGCTGTGACACTCTCTGTTGCAGCAGCGTAGCGACGATGCCCAAACGGGTTTCAAGAGAAATCCATGTACATACCGAAAAAGAGAGGTCGGGAGAGGTCGAACGAGCGATGTCGGAACAGTGGTCTTTGCAGAGCCGAAGAGGCTGGGGGGATGGTGGTGACTGGTTGGGGTGGTTGCGGTGGGTGGTGGACAGGCCGTTAGGCTAAGAGACAGGAGTGTAGTATATACAGATGGTAAAGGCGGAGGCTAAGCTTCGCAACGGCACGAACGTAGGGGAAAAAAGAAAACGGACGAGGTTTGAAGAGAGAGGGTGGCGGGCCAGGGGCTGGGGCTGGGGCTGCGTCACCGAAGGAGCTTCGAGCTCGCTGGAAAAGGCACTGAGGCAACGACGACAGGAAAGGAAGAAGTGAGGACGACGGGCAGGATGCGCGAGGCAGCGAGGCTAGCTATGTCTCGTGGCTCCAGAGACTTTTGGGGGAGCAGCCCGGGCTGCGAGTGGAACAGGCAAGGATTGCATGGCTCAGAGTTTACTTGTACCAGCACAGGGCTAGGCATGTGGTGCAGGAAGCGAGAGACGCCACCATGTCCGCGGTCGGCTCAGGGGCCTCGGACTGGTCACTGACGATGAGATGGAGCATGGTGCGACAGGCACGGGCAGCCCACACACTCCCGTCTGGGCGTGAGATAACGACGAGGGGCTCGCAAAGGACGCGCGCACCACGCCCAATGGCTGGCGGGCTTGCGCAATGCACAAAATGCTGACGGGGGACCTGGCCCAGTGAGGCTGAGAGGCTACGGGCACGAGGGAGCGGCCGTGGGCGTGGGCGTGGGCGTGGACGTGTGGGTGAGCGTGTGTGGCGAGGCGAGGGCCGCAGCCGGGCATGTCTGGGGGCGGGGGGCGATGGGCGATGGCGATGGCGATGGGCATGGCCATGGTGGTTGGGGCGTGGTGATGGTCAAGGGCGGCGACTGGCGGCGGCGACGAGGTGCAGGCACAGGCACAGGTGCTCCAGATGGGTGCCGCAATGGCGCGTTTTGCATACTGACAACCCTGCGCGAGCGAGCCAGGCCCACGAGCCCGTCGCGAGTGCGATGGCAGCCAAGACGGCCCTTTTGGAAAGAGTTGCTTCGCTTCTTGCATGTGCGGCGCTTTATTGGGAGCGCCGTCCGATGCACCCGCTGCACGTGTCGCCGAGGGCCGCTGCGGGTACGCCTGCGAGTATCGACGCGGTCCAAGTACATATAGGCATGTCGCGGCCGGGGTGCGCATGTTTGATCCAGCGGCAGTCCAATATAATTATATCGGCAACGGCCCATCATCTCGTCATGTCGGGCGTCGCCGGCGGCACGGCCAATATCGCAGCGGGGAATTGCTCGCAAGATTAAGGTGCAGAACCACTGTCGCGGCATGAGTACATGTTTGCAGAGGGCTGTACATGTAATTAACGCGAGCTGCACCCACCCACCATCCAAGATGGCGATCGGCCATGGAGCTGCTAGCCCGGCGGGGCCGGCAAGGCTATCGATGCCACGGCTTGTTGCGCGGGAATGAAGAAGGGGAAGGGAAATGGAAATGGAAATGGAAATGGAAATGGAAATGGAAATGGAAATGGAATCGGAAAGAGAAGACGCGCGCAGGGAACATGCGGCTGTCTGTCAGCGGGCACGTGACGTCGACGTACTATTGGAATGGCAGCGGCGGCATGGAGCTAGCATCGCAAACGGCCACAGCAAAAAAGAAAACAACCGACGGAGCTGCCGTTCGGTGCGCGCCCATGTGCACAGCCGTTTGCGCCATGGCCCTTACAGTACGCCCATATACGCCCATATTGCCTGCCTCTCCTCCCTCCACCCCCCTGCTACGTCAGCCAGCACAACTCGACCCTCCCATAGTATACTATCGCCCCGGCCTGGTACCTGGACCTGACGGCTGACGGCTTACAAGTACTGCTGACCTCTCAGCCGCACTGTGTTTGCACGCCCTATCGACATCCATTGACGCATAATATTACCTGCGCCGGCCCGATTTATAAATACACCACCAACGACATTAACATCATCGCCCCTAACAACAACAAGAGCTGCCGGCCAAGGGGAGCAGGCGCAGGCTGCAGGCACAGGCACAGGAACAGGCACAGGCACAGGCACAGGCACAGGCACAGGCACAGGCACAGGCACAGGCACAGGCACAGGCACAGGCACAGGCACAGGCACAGGCACAGGCACAGGCACGACAGGCGGATGCATGCGCAGGCGCGTTCCTTAGTCAAGCGCCTGCAGCGCCCCTCATATAAGCCACCATGTCACACTGCCACCCCAAACGCCATCTCGAGTCATCCAGAGCGTGACGGCTGCTGCGCCGCGGGCCACGCTGCAGAAAGAAGAACGGAAGACGGCCATGGCCTCGCTGCCTCAAGTTTGTCGTCGAGGCGCCGCCGGCTTCACTTTGGCGAGTTACTGAACCTTCGCACAGGCAACGCTTAGCGGCCACGGCGAAAACAACAAGATTAGCCCACACAGACATGCGCCGTCGCACGACGCTTCCACAGGCTGCCCCCCCACTGCGAGACCCGTTACACCGTGTGGCAGGCCCGGGGAGTCAGGCCCAGGGCCGCCCTCGCCCTCGCCCGCTGCTGGCCAAGCCAATATTCGCATGCGCCGCTCGCACCACGGCTCGCTACTGCTTCAGTCGCCTGCACGTGCTGGGCATGCCGCCCGCATGAGGCAGATCTTCGAGGATGCTAGCCGTGAACAGCACACACGGCAGCCCGCTAGCCACACGCTCTATCCACAGCTGGCCAACGTTTCGAGAAAAGCATCGCCGCCACTAGCACTAGTACACAACGGGCGTGTGCGAGCCCGTTTCCAGCAAAACCCCCCCACTCCCCGCCCACCGTCCCGCTGCATGTCGTCAACGACATCATTTCGAGCCTCAGCAGACGATGCTCCCTCGGCCTTTGTCGGGCTATCAGCGCAGAGTTCCGAGTCGTGGTCAGACGACTCTGCATACCTGGTGGCACGCTCGCGCAACCCGACGTCTGCTCTGGCCTTTGTCCCCAATGGCCGCATATCCGAATGGCTCGCCGGCGTCTCGACGCCCGATTGGGACCAAGATGGCTCTGAAGAAGAAGAAGAAGAAAAAGAACAAGAAGATGGCCACGCCAGGTCCGAATTCTGCCAGCACTTCTCTGCCGAGTTTAGTCACGAAGCCGCCTCCAGACACATACGACAGTCGCCCAAACCGTGGCGGCCTGTCAGAATCAAGCCACTAGATCCTTTTGGCCGCCAGGAGCATACATACACCGAAACACAGCCCTTGGCGTTTCATTCCTTTTCGCCTTTCCACGACATGACTGCTAATCCGCGCCCCACCTTTAGTGCCCAGCGTCCCACTACGCCAGGCCCTTCAAACAAGCAAGCCTTGCCCTCCTCCAATGACCAAATCCAATACACGCCCCTGAGTCCAAATATATGTATCGAGCGTGGTCCCTCGCGATACCGCTCTTCCCGCAACAGGCACCTCACGAATCGCACATCGCCTACCAAAACCCCACATAGCGTATGCAAAGAGAACACGCTACCAACATGTCTTGACAATGCACACGCCAACAGTACCCCAGAAGCACCTTGCAAAGTCGGCGTCGGCACGCGCTTCCAGCATCCGAGGCATACTGCACGACAGGGGCTGGGCAGATGGGCACGCTGTGTCGACTAGTTTGCTATCAGTGGACTGACATGGGTGAGTAGATTGACGGTAGGTGGAATCATTGCCATATTCCGTATAGCATCGCCATCACCATCGTCATCATCATCATCATCACCACCAATGCAGCAGAATTTCCTTGGAATAGCCAATATGGTAGAGCGGAGAACGAACTCAGCATAGTGGTATCTTTAGCTGTTCCAAACATGTTCAAGAATAGACGACTTATTCCACAAAACGCTCACTTACACCTGTCGTATGACAAATCATTTGTTTCGTTTGTCGTCATGATCCCTCACAACCCTACAGACCTGGATCTTGCTCTTGCCCGCCCGCAGCACCAGGGCCTCCCAGTCGACAAGATAGTGATTGGGATCCACGTCCTTGCCCTCCTGGATGGTCGCCCACTTGAGCGCAGTAGGGTTTTCAAGCGGTCCAGAGTTGGGCACTACCACGTAAGCGCCCTTTTTGGCTATCAATCGGCTCGCTTCTGAGCGAGATGCTGCGAGCCCGGCGGCGTGGAGGATGTGGGCAAAGGAACCAGGTTGAAGCATGGACAGGGGCAGCGTGACAATGTTGTCGTCTTGCAGCGGCTTTTGCTGCTGCTGCTGCTGCTGTGGTTGGACAGACTGCGCACTCGCAGCAAAAGCTTGCTTGTACGCCAGCAGCTCTTTTTCCCTTTTACTCGTCGTGTCAGCCGCCGCACGAGTTTCCGGTGCCTTGGAGCTGGAAAGAGCGTTTCGGAGCGACAGCAGTGAAAAGGTGTTTGTGCCCTGACCAAAGGCATCTTTGTGTGCGAGTTCGGCTTTCTTCGCCTCGGCTGCGCCGTGGGCGAGCTCGACCATCTCGCGTGCGAGAATGTGCTGGGCGAGGCGCTTGCCCGGGTCGTGGGCTTGCTGCGACATGAGCAGCGCGATGGAGTCGAGGGGCAGGAAGGTGAAGAGCTTGAGGTAGCGCTCTACATCTGCGTCGGCGGTGCGCATAAAGTACTGCGGCAATTTCTAGTCAGTTCGTATTTCTGGTGTGAGACCCTCTTTGTTATATACATACCTGGTAGAGGTCAAACGAGTTGAGCATCTGGCCGTCAAGCCAAACCGCATTGCCCGCGCTCTTGCCAAACTTGTCGCCTGACGCCGTCGTCAGGAGCGGCGTGGTCAGGCCGTATGTGGCTGTCCGTGGGTCCTCTTCTTCTGCCTCGTTGTGCATGCCGTGGATCTTGCGCATGTGGCTGACAGCGCCCATGCCGGCAATGATGTTGCCGTACTGGTCGGAGCCGCCAATCTGGAGTTGAACGCCCTGGTTCCTGTACATGCTCCACCAGTCGTACGCTTGAAACAGAGGATAGCTGAATTCGGATACGGCCATGCCTTCTCCGCTCTCCATTCGGAGCTTGACCCTGCACAAGTGTGTGAGAGACGAGTCTTGAGATATAGTCAGCTGACACTTACGAATCGCGACTGAGCATGGCGCCCAGACGCATGCCAGAGCCCAAGTCTCTCATGAGCTCGACAGCACTGAGCTTCTCGAGCCACTTGCGGTTATTAAGGATCTCCTGCTTCCGGCTGATGAGCTGTGGGTACTGGTGCTTGATGCCTAAGCACTTGACGTTGGTCCAAAGCTTCTCGAGCTGCCGCTGTATGCTCGCCACGTTCATGGATTGCACATCTTCTCCCAGCCGCGAGCGGGCTGTTGTCCTCCCAGACGGATCTCCAATCTGTACCGTGCCTCCGCCCAACTACCCATGATTAGCGGCTGTGGTGCCTATCGACGCGCGGGGGGCTCACCAAGCTGACGGTGTAGTAGCCATGGAGATACAGCCAGTACAGCGCCATCAGAGGAACAAGATGGCCGACGTGCAGCGAGGGCGCCGTCGGGTCGACGCCGACGTATGCGCCGATGCGCTTCTCGGTGAGCAGCCAGTCGAGCGTCTGGCGTCCGCTGCGAAATTCTCAGCTCAAGTCCCACGGTGGCTTCTTTTTGTTTTTCTCCCTGCTGTGCTCACCCCGCAATGTCCTTGACAAACCCCCGCTCTTCAAGCACGCTCAGCATGCTCTGCTGCGCGCCCACCCGCACCTTTCCCGCCTGCTCTTCCCATTGCGCCTGTCTGGCTGCTGGATCCGCGTCCTCGTCCGCCCATCTCGACGTGGGCCGCTCGCCGCGCGCCAGCGTGGATTGCCGTCGTATGCATGTCCGGCACACCAAGAGCCGTGGGCGGGACAGTCGTCTCAAGGCCGACATGGCTGCCAATTGCACGGCATTGAATTTGGGGCCCAGGGCAAAGTGTCCGGGCCTGCCAAGATGGAGCCAGCATGACGCCGATTGGCCCGAGCCCCTGCAGCTTCCCCGACCACCTCCGCACCAGCATCCGCATCCGCATTCGTCCACGTCACATGCTCTCCTCGCTGTCCATGTGCATGGTGCTGCGTCTCGTGCCTTCGTGTACACCGTCACTTACCTAGCCAGCGCAATCAGACAGCAATCACACATCAATTCATCCTTCTGCCTCCGTCTCTTGCCACTGTGCCCGCCCCTCCGTGTCCTCCTGCTCTAACAGCACAGCTTACTTGTCAGAGGAATACCTACTTACGTTGGAACCTCATATCCAGCCGCCATGTACGCTGCTCTGAGCTGTTACCCGCCGCTGGGCCAGACGACCACCATTCCTTCAGACCGAGACTCGGTGAGTTTGGCAATTGAGCAGCTGCCCGACAAGCTCGAGTCTAACACCGCCCCAGGTCAGGTTCACAGTAGTCATCCAGAGCTCGGTTCTTTCGGAAAAGACCTGGCAAGTGGCCCTGTGGCACAACTTTGACACGTCCGATCAATGGACCAGCTCTAGCCTTAGTCCAACCAACGAGCCTACTGTGGTATGAGCAGCCATAGAGCATGATTTGTTGAGAGAGCTGATGATAGCAAGACGGCCGTCAGCCCGTATCAATCCGACACTCAACATCAGTACTTTACGATTGAGCTTGCTGGTCGTCCAAAACATGCCGCTTCAGTATCGTTCACTATTACTTTTCGAGCAGCAGAGGTGTGTCGTCTTCTTTCTGACAATTTCAACCACTTTAGTGCTTCAGGATTGCTGAGAACAATCATCTTTTGCTTTTTGCAAGAACTCGACTGATGCTCGCAGAATGAACCCTGGAAATGGGCAAACGAGCACTTTTCCACCTCTGATGGTCGTCTGATCTATCAGTCGTCAGAGCCGCTGCAAGAGAGCCTGACATTTTACCTTGAAAACCTTCCTCCATTCCTCACAGTTGCAAAAGAGCAAAGCGACACGCCAAATACGCTGCTTTGGGATGTCAGCTATCCAATTGGAGCAGCCTCTGGAAGAACACAAGGCCAATCGCGGGAAAAGCTAGGGAAACCTAACAATGTCTCCCGCTGGTTTGCCGAAGTTCGCCTATGGGGTCCTTGGATTGCTCCCAGACAAGGCAAAGACCGCTTCCAGCCTGACAAAGACGCCATTCTGGCTGCATTCGAGCGCCACGACGGGTCACATCTGGTAGTGCTAGCAGTGAGTGGGGTCAAGGACGTCCTTACTATCCTCACTCACGACGGCAATGGAGGGATTGTGATGAACTCCACAAACGATGGTCAAGAAGATGGCACTGTTCGTGTTGTTGCTGCAGTTGGCAAGGCCCTGGAAGATGCAGTTGCAGCATCCATGTACTATGCACGAAAGCTTGTCATGGCGTACGAAAAGTCGACCGGACAAGTCAATGAAGAGATCAAGGCTCTCACTGACGATTTCAAGCCACAATGGCTGGAAAACTGGTACGATGGATTGTCGTACTGCACCTGGAACGGACTGGGTCAGAAGCTCACAGAGGACAAGATCTTTGATGCCCTGGAATCGCTGCGCAAGAACGAGATTAACATCAGCAACCTCATCATAGACGATAACTGGCAGTCGCTGAATACCGAGAGCGGCGACCAATTCAACAACGCTTGGGTGGAATTTGAAGCTAACAAGAATGGCTTTCCTCGTGGCCTCAAGGCCACCGTTGGCGATATCCGAAGCAGGAATCCACACATTCGACACGTTGCTGTCTGGCATGCCATGTTTGGCTACTGGGGTGGTGTCGCCCCCGGGGGACGCATAGCCAAAGAATACAAGACGAAAGTGGTCAAGCTGAAAGACGGAGTCTCAGGCGGCCAGATCATGGTCGTCGGCCAAGAAGACGTTGATCGCTTCTACAAGGACTTTTACCAGTTCTTGTCGTCGTGTGGAGTGGATTCCGTAAAGACGGACGCCCAATTCTTCCTCGACGAACTCCAGGACGCAGATGACCGGCGCGAACTGATCAAGTCCTACCAGGACGCCTGGTCCATTGCTCAACTCCGCTACTTCTCTGCGCGAGCCATATCCTGCATGTCGCAAGCTCCTCCTTTGATGTTCTACTCTCAGTTCCTCTCCAACAGACCACGCATGTTGCTGCGAAACTCGGACGACTTCTTCCCTGAGGTGCCTGCAAGCCACCCATGGCACATCTTCTGCAACGCACACAACTCCATCTTCACGCAGTACCTCAACATCCTCCCCGACTGGGACATGTTCCAAACCAGCCACGACTACGCAGCTTTCCACGCCGCCGGGCGCTGCGTAAGCGGCGGACCCATCTACATCACCGATGTCCCCGGCCAGCACGACGTCGACCTCATCACGCAAATGACGGGAAACACGCCTCGCGGCGACACGGTCATCCTGCGTCCACACACAGTCGGCAAAACGACCAGCGCATACAACGCCTACGACGATGCCGTGCTCCTCCGCGTCAACACGTATGTTGGCATGGCACACACAGGCGTGTCGATTCTCGGTGTCTTCAACTGCACCCACAAGCCCATTGCCGAACTCATCGCCCTCGACGCCTTCCCCGGCGCCGAAAAAGGAACATACGTCATCCGCTCGCATTCGGACGGCCAAGTCAGCAAGCCCACAAGCGTAGCCTCCAACGCCGCATTCGTCCATGTCGATCTGCCCGTTCGCGGCTGGGACATTCTGTCTGCATTCCCACTGCTGTCGTTTACCCTGCAGCGCGAAAAGGGACTCGACGCACAGGGCCCCGCCGACATTAGCGTGGCGAATCTGGGTGTCGTGGGTAAAATGACAGGGGCTGCTGCAATCATCAATACGGACTCGTATATCGAGCGCAACTCTGGCCGCCTGAGGGTCTGGACGAGTTTGAAGGTGCTAGGTACTTTTGGTAAGTCATACTCTCTCTCTCTCTCTCTCTCTCTCTTTTTTTTCTGTTGTTGTCGTTATACATGCTAATTCCACTCGTGCACAATAGGCCTCTATATTTCCCATCTGCCCAAACGCTCCATTGAAAAAGACTTTTTTGCCGTCATTTTCGGTCGCCCCGTCCCCGCGCATTGCGTCAGGGTGAGCGACGAATGCGAAAACGTGCTGGAGATTGATACGGCGAGGGCGTGGAAGGAGTCGGATTCAAAGGCTGGCTGGAGCAATGAGGTTGTTGTCGAGGTGATTATTCGATGAAGCCACGGTATGCGGGTTCTGTTTATTGTTTGTTTGTTTGTTTGTTTGCGTCTTTCTCCTCTCTCGTCTTGCGTGTCTAGGGGTTGGATGTCGATGATGGTGGAGTGAAAAGGTGTGCTTGACTGTCGTACTTGAATATGAAAACGTCTATCTTTTTTTTTCTCTTGACTGCTCGTATAGCAATGACCGGAGTGAAAAGAGAAAAAAAAAACGTTGGGTATCAAATGACAGAAAGGTTAGTACTGAGTATTGCAAGCATGAGCGTCACAGCAGATACAAAGCAGCATGGCCGAAACTTTCATCGTGTAAAGAAACTTTCAGGTATCTTATCAAGCTAAATATGCATACAGCGCTTCCCATACAACGCCCACGAAACGCTTTGGCTCAAACCCCCAAGACCTAACAAACGGCTCGTGCTCTTTTCTTTCCGTCTCGCTTTTCTCATACACACGTTTTGCTCATTTCGTTGCGATGCGCCCCCCATTCATCATAGCTTGACGCCCCACACACCGCGTCCACCAGCAACACCAACCCACTCGCCGCCTTGTCCCGTCAGAGCGCTCTGGGGTGCCCAGCTCAGGTTGCCAATTTCATAGTCGCATCGCCAGCTGGCATAGGGTCCCTTTTGGCCGACTGGCGCGTTCTGCTGGTTCGCGGCGCCGTTTGCAGAGTGAGTATTCGCAGGTGCAGGCGGAGACTGTGTTGAAGCATGTTCCCCACTAATGGTGGCGCCGTTGTTTGCGTGTAGCAGATCCCATATCAGGACGAGCGAGTCATCGGCGCCGGATGCGAGCATACCTCTCCGAGAGGGGTTCCATTCTATGCAATTGACGGCTGCAGAGTGTCCGCGAAGTTCCAGGAGGGCTTGACCAGGTTGTCTGACGTCGAGGATACGGATGAGATTTGAATCGGCGGCAAAAGTAGCGAGAAGGTGGGAGTCGTGCGGGGAAGCAGCGAGACGGAGGAGCGGCGGTGCGTACGACATGGTCTGCTGGGCTTTGGTCGGAGACATGCGGCCTGTAGGTGAGCCTGTACGCCAGTGTTAGTAATCTTATGGGTAAGAAAAAAAAACAAGACACTAACCCTTATCTCTTTCAGCTCCCTTGTCTGAGGGCTCATAGATGATGGTACTGTGCTCTAGGCTGCGCAGATCGAACATGCGCACACTTCCATCAGCACCACAGCTCACAAAGACATCAACGCTGCCTGCGCAGAAACGGACATCAAAGACCTCCTTGTCGTGTGCAATCAACTGCGTCTTGGCGGTAAGCGATGGTATGTCCCATATTGTGCATGTTGTGTCTATGCTGGAGGTGATGATGAGCTTGGGCGACATGGTATTCCAATCGAGCGATGTAAGCGGGGCAGTGTGTTCGGGGGTTTTGGAATTGGACAGGAGCGCGAGGGGCGTGAGCTTGGGGAGCTGCGGCTCTCGGGTGTTGACAGACGACGAGCGCGTGATGGTGTTGCTGGTGTTGTTGGTGGCTTGAGGCAGCGACCATAGACGCAGGTGATCGCCAGATGTAGCGAGGAGGTCGGTGGATTGCTTCTGGGATGACGGCGGCTCCCAGAGCATGCGTGTAACGGGAAAGGAGCATGTCGCTTCGGCGATGGCATTGTATTCAAGGCCGTAGGGGGTTGCGCCGGGAGACGAGACGTCCTGGGGCGCTATCTGCGTGTCGAGGATGCGGATCTAGATGGTGCATTAGCGGAGGCCCTTGTGGCGGCCAATGACTGCTTACAAAGTTGTGGTTGTCTTCCAGGTAACTGCCCACGGCCATCTTGCCAGCACTGTTGCCGCCAGTCACATTCCACTTGCACCAGTCGAAGGCGTATATGCTCCACGGGGCTAGGTAGTTGCTGTTTGAGGCCACCTTGTTCATGTCGCCCAGAGTGGAATTGCCGTGGCCCGTAGTCTCTGGCTCCATGTTGGAGTTTGCGCGTGGTCGGATGTCGGCGAGGCCCAAGGGGGATTGCGAGGCGGCGCCCGAAGGGGTCGAGGGATAGTACTTTTGCGTGGGGGTGGCTGCGGCGTACTTTGAGTTCTCGGGGGTGTTTGAAAAAGGAATATATTTCTGCTCAGGGCCCAGGCCGGCTGGGCTCGAGCGCGAGTAGGCATGCGTCGAGTGGGGGGAGTGCTGTGACTGGCTGATGGTGTTTGAGCGCGTGGGTAGCGTGTACTGCTGGGCGTTGGTTGCTATTTGCGCCTGGGGAGGCCCAGCGGGCGCCGTGTGGGTGCTCGTGGGCGCCGGTCGCTGCTGCGGCGGGGCTTGCTGTTGCTGTTGCGGCGGGGCTTGCTGTGGCGGCTGCGACTGTTGCTGCTGTTGCGGTGGCTGTTGGCCGGGGCCCGTGGCGGGCTGGAGGCTGCCAGGCACAGCGGGAGCGGCATACTGGGCGGTTTGCGGGGTGCCATGGTCGACGTTGATGTTGGGCGCCGACCGATAGGAGTCGGGCGAGTTGTACATGTGCTGGGATGAGCCCGCAGGGGGCGGCCCCGAGGCATGCTGGCCGACGGCCGTCGAGATATGGAGCTCCTCGTTGGTGCGGCCGCTCAGGCTCGGGGCCTTGTGTCGCGGCGTGTCGAAGCTCGAGTTTGCTGATGGCGGTGCCGTGGCGGCCATGTAGGCCTCGCTGGGGGGTGGTGGTTGGGCGTTGCCGCTGGCCTGGGGCATGAAGGCATCGGTGCCTGCCCGCGTGGTGCCCTGCGTGGCTGCGCGCAGATTGCCTCCAGGAGCTCCTATGCCTACGCATGGCGAAGACGAATATCAGCCTAGTGTTCACGCCAAGGGCCCCCGCGAGGCGGATGAGTCCATGTACATACTCCCAAGCGCCGACGCCGCGGCATAGATGCCCTGCGCCGGGTCATTCGGCGCGTTCTGGTGGTGGTGTCCGAAAGGCATGGGGCGTGCAATTGCCGCAACAGTGGCCGGGCGCGATGGAGAGAGGGAAGAGAATGGCGCAGAGCTGTCGCGGCGCCTGGTCGTCTGGAGAGGGCGGGCATGTGCATGTGCATGTGCCGTGGTTGGCGTGGAGCGATGCCTAGGCGGCTCTATCTCGGCAAACGGTCCCCACCACCCCTCCAACCCCTCGCCGCCCTCTACTATACACACGCCCACGGGCCGCTGATGGCGGCACTGGCACTGGCACTGGCACTGGCACTGGCACCACCAGCCTGCGACCAGCCTGCTCGCTGGGGCCCCGCGATTCATGCTGCTCCTGCCTGCAACACGCACACGCATCACATGTCCTTTTGCCGCCACGCCTCTGGCCCCTCTGCTTATAGCTCGCCGTCTTGCAGCCATGCCTCCACCGCCATCCACGCCACTCCATCACCGCGCCCTGTTGCTGCTGCCGCCTGCCCCGGCGCCGCCTTCGTATGCCGCACTCAGGGCCGCATACAACGCCCCCGTCTGCACCGTCCTGAAGGAGCTTGCTGCGACTCAACGCACCGCCCAGGGACCTACTCTCGTGGAGATTGCTCTGCCATGCCCGCACCTGTACCGACAGCTGGACGCGCCACGGGGACCTCACTACGCAACGACGCAGCAGCTGGTGGCCGGCCTCTACAAGCTCATCTGCCTCGCTGCGAGCAGGGATGCCATCGACACGGACGATGAGGACGCCATCGACGCCCGTGTGGTACTTGTTGCGTATCCCAGAGACGGGCAGCTGACAGCGCCCCTGGCCGATGCGACTCCAGAGCAGGAACTACAAGGGCCAGCCGTCGACATGCACACGCTCGCACGCAGCCCTCGAGCATGGGATACTGTCTATTCAGTAGAGAGTGAAGAGGGCGAGCAAGTGTTGAGGGCCTTTGGCTCTCTGTCCAAGTCTCAATACGCTGTGAAAAAGGTCCGAGGCGGGATAGTAAGTGTCGATGCCTCTGAGCCTGGACCATGTCACGACCAAGCCAAGGCAACTACAAACCACCTCTCGGTCGCTGTTGGGGGCACTTTTGACCACCTCCACATTGGCCACAAGCTGTTGCTGACCATGTTCGCATTCATGCTCGGGAGGAGACAGGCCTCGACTCCAGAGACCAGCCCCAGCGTGCTGACAGTGGGCATCACGGGCGATGCGCTTTTGAAGAACAAAAAGTTTGCACAGCATCTGCAGAGCTGGAAAGACCGCCAAGAATCAGTGCACAATTTCCTGTCGAGCCTCGTCTACTTTGGGTCACCGGACGACGAGCGCATCCATGTTGAAGAAATCAAGGAGGCAGGACCAAACGGCCACGCTGTCCACGTCACGTATCCGCTCGGGCTTACTATCAAATACGTCGAGATATGGGATCCTTTTGGCCCGACCATCACGGACAAGGACATTTCGGCGCTGGTGCTGTCGCTCGAAACACGGAGCGGGGGCGCTGCAGTCAACCAGAAGCGAGATGAGCAAGGCTGGGGCCTCCTGGAGGTGTTTGAGGTTGCGGTGCTGGATGCCAGCGAAGAGGACAAGGTGGATGAGACGTTCCAGAGCAAGCTGAGCAGCACGGAAATGCGTCGCAAACGAAGCGAGCGCACGCGGTGTGCAGCATAGGCGCGGCCAGGGCTGGGGGGCAAGGCATGAGGCGGAGTGGCAGATGCTACATGTCTCCTGTTACTTGGCCGAGGCGAGCTGGGGCGGCATGTGGCGGCATGTAAGTCGATGGAGAGAGAAAAGGACAAGTCGGTGTCGGAGGTTGGCTTGCTGTGCAACGATGCACGGCGATTGTGTGTGCCGGCTGGGGGGCACGAGGGCGGGCGACATGATGACGTTTCTGGGGCGAAGACGGGGCGTGGATGCAGGCCACACGTTTGCTGTCAGGCGAGCAGCCGTGGGCTGAATGGTTGCCGGCAGCGTAAAGGCAGGCGGCCGTCATCTTGTGCGAGGTGACGGAGCTTGGCCGCAGCGGACATGTATAGCAGCACCATGGGGCGACGGCATGAATATTATGTGCAGACAATAAGTGACAGCTCAGCTCGCCTTGCCTCGTGCTGCGTGGGCGTGTGTGCGGGACCACGGGGCTTGCAGGGCCGGCCATGGTTGCCGGCGCTGCGGCTCTGCTCTGTGAGGCGTCCATGTATCGTCACGAGCAGCAGCAGCAGCAGCAGCAGCAGCACGCTCGCTCGCTCGACGGGGGGCGGGCAACGGTGGATGCAGGAGCACGGCAGTGGCAGTGGCAGTGGCCGTGGCAGTGGAAGGGCCCTGATGACGCTGTGCGGTCGGGTGATTAGCGTCACAAGCGCTCGCTCGCCGGCTGCATGCTTTGTTGGCAGCGCAGCAGGACGGCGGGCTGTGAAGATTTTTGATTCGAGCCCCACTGGGCCAGGTGGTGATGCAGCACGCACGCAAGCAAGCAAGCAGCAGAGGGTTGGCGGCGACTGGGCGGCGAATGGTTTCTTTTTGCCTCGGGAGGAGCCACGCTCGCGTCACTCGACGGGTGCTTGTGGCGGGCGGCCGCGTCGAGCGAAGGTCATGTGAGCGCTAGGCGGCTCGCGGCCTAGTGCGGGCGCGGCGATTGGCGGGCGGCCGCGGGCGGCCAGGGTGGCTGCAGCACAGCGTGGCCAGTCGCCGTGCTCAACTCCAGCGACGCTTAGCTGACTACGAGCAGCGGAGAGAGGTCATGCCTTTCCAACCTTCCCCCGGCCCTGCTGCTGCCGCCGCTGCTGCTGCTGCTGCTGCTGCCGCTGCCGCCCCTCTGGACTGTCTCTTCGCCCGTCGTCCGCCCTGCTGAACCACGCCCGTCTGCTGCCTCCACGTTGTCGCTTGTCCACCACACAACCCCCCCCCCCCCCAGTCCCGCCGTGGCCATCTGCTCTGCGTGCCGTCCCGTCGCCCTCGTGTCCCGATCCGGCCCGAGCACCCTCTCTGCCTGTCTGCCCGCCTGCCTGCCCGCCCTGCCCCTCAAACCCTATATCCTTCGGCGGCGCGCTCCTGGCTTGCGTGGGAAGCCCCGCCGCAGAGATCCTTCTCTGCAGCCGTCATGAAGAGTCCCACATAAAAATGGGTATCCTCGATCTTGCCGACGAGCTGCTGCGCATCATCCTCGAATATGTCGCCTCGGAGCCAGAGAAGCCCATCAGCCTCGAGCGCCGCGCCTACCTCTCGCAGGAGAGCTTCAAGCTGCCTCTGCCGCCAGACTATGACCAGGCCCAAACCATCGCCGCCTTCCGGCTGACGTGCAGAAAGTTCTCCGACCTCGGCGTCATCCATCAGTTCGCACGTGTCACCACACGCTTCTCCAAGAGAGGCCTGGACCGCCTCGAGAAGATTGCCGGCCAGCCGCACATTGCCAGACGCGTCAAGAAGTTCAGCTACATGGTGCCCTTCTTCTACGACCAAGGTCGAGCTACCCCGCCCAAGCCCTCAGTCCCCGTTCCATGCTAACCTGGGCTGCAGGACGGGAGCGAATGCAGGAGTTGCTGCGCACACAGCCGGAAGCATTTGCCCTTCTCGATGTTCGCCACTTTCAGCAGAGGGCGAACGAGCAGAGAGAGATTGTGCGGACGGGCCAAGACGCCCGCATCCTCCACATAGCCCTGCGCCACTTCACCTCACTCCAGCACATCCAAATCCTGCGGGTACAGGACCGGGAAGAGGGAGAGCTGATCAACTACATGCGGAGCCATGAACTCAACGACCTAGTTCCAAGATGGCCGCCCGCATGCCTGCACAGCGCCAAAACGATAGGCCAGGCGCTCCTTCACTCTGGATCGCCATGCTCACGAATCTCGTCGCCCATGCTCAGCCCCCAAAGCGTCTCGGGCGCCGCTGAGAACCCGCCTACGACACTGAGCATCCTCGCGGGCCGTTTGACTTGCTTGGAGCTGCACTTTGATGATAGCATAGACCTCGACGTGCGAATGCGGAACCTCTCCTCTCTGTCCAAGGCCCTTTTCACTGCAGCCAAGAACATTGAAGCACTGCATATTGGCTTTCCGTCGTATAGACCGCTCACTCTTCGCTTGGAGGAGCTTTTTCACCATGTCAAGTGGGATAAGTTACAGGCTTTTGGAATACAGGCGTGGCGGCTAGATGCCGAAGAAATCGTTGGTTTCACACACAGACACCGCGAGACATTGCGGGGGCTACGACTTCGAGACGTACTATTAAGAGAAGGCAGCAGGTGGAAAGACGTCCTCCCCTGCCTACGGGACGATCTCACAAGACTTGATTGGGTCAGCTTAAGGCGAATCGACTACGAAAAACATTTCGATGAGCAGTGGGTGTTGGGCGCCGAGGTGCCAGACGACCCGCTTGTGGGAAGTGACAGCAGCGACGAGAGCGACGACTGGGAATACGAGGGGGAGCAAGACGACCCATCTGATGCTCACAGCGGCAGTGGCAACGACCCTGACGGCAGTTCGATAGCGGGCACCGATTCGGACGCCGAAACCGACGATCCGGAACCAGAGCAAGGCGGAACTCTGCACTTCCCACCCATGCCCGACACCCCAGCCTCGATTACCTGGTGCAATTGCAACGGCCATATGGATAGCGTAGACGCGTTAGGAGACGATGGTGTCATGGTCACGAATCAGCAGCGCAAGTTCTGGGAGAAGTGGGTCGTCAGGAAGATCTGCACCGAGCAGCACGGTCATAAATAAGCGAGCATCGTAGATTCTGTTGGTGGATCCCATGAGGTGCAACAAAGGGCTGTCTTGTCGAGCCATTCATGCGCCAACCATGTGCGCGTGGTGCTCGCATATGCATGCTCGCAGCAGCCAAAGCACGGGTCCCGGGCGCTTATGCAAATACCCAGCAACCCGTCACCGCACCCGATACCACACGAGCCGAATGGCCCCTTTACCCGCGCCGCCCTCCTACGATATCGAGTACATCTACCGCCCAGCCTTGTTCGCAGCATGCATCTGAAGCACATTCTTCCATCAAGCAGAAAAATTTCCCTTGTTCCTTCTCGCATACCAGTTGATTCTTTTCAAAGGCGGCATGCATCCCCCTGCTTCTGATTATCATTTGGGCCCAAAAGTCTTTGTAACTTGCTCTTACTTCCTCTCTTAACGCCATCTTCATGCCCCTTGTTGTCCAACACACTTGAAATAACGAATGTAATGTAGCGTGGGAAGGAATTTGTTGCTTTTTATTTTACTTTTATTTTTCATGTTTTTGACATGAACGATCCCATGGTGGTAGTAGACCTTTGAAACGAAAAAAAAAACTTGACAAAGTTTCGAAATCTGTATTTTTTTTTGGTTGTCTTTTTTTTCTTTGCTTTGCTGTTACTTACTTATCCTACTGTGAGAGTTTTTAAATGTCTAGCATCTATCATGATTGTATTGACTGAAGCAGGATTCTGCAAGATATATTAACTACTTACGTACTTTACCCCCTCCGAGTCAGATGTCGTGTCCGTGCATAGACTAGACGAGACTAGACGCCCTACTTATATAGTAGTAGTACGCACTTATTGTATGTACGAGCGTTTGGACCACCCACACACTCTACTTATAGCTTGGGATGTGGGGGGACGGGGGTGTGATTATGTAAGTACGTAACATGTTATAAATCGTTATCGTCTACATCAAGGAATACCATGGAAAGTTGCATGATTGATGCAACCGCCCATAGGTATACTACAGATATGCAATCGGCTTGTACAAAGCGAAGTATCTAAGTGTGGTATTCTGTATGGGGTCTGGGATTGTGAGGTGGTGATGGTGATGATGAGACTAGAGAGAAAGAGAGTATTCAATAAAATATTGAGTCGATAACGTTAGAAAGTATCGGGCTTCAAGATACTTAACTAAACCTGTGCTAATGAAGAGGTTATTATGACGGTTCTTTTTTGTAAAGATACACATTGCAGAGTCGATATGCAGAATAGAGCTGTAAAGTATTCGCGTCATGGACTATATACCGAGGCTGAATAATTAGGGAATGAATATTCAGGTATAATCAACACTTGGAAAAAGGGGGTACGGTGCAAGGAGACGTGACGAGGGTCTGCAGTATTGGAATGGAATGAGAGCGATGATGAGATTTTCGTATCAGGGGATTTCACGCCTATAGGGAAACCAAGTGGTTGTGTCTGGAAGCTTTGAGGCAAAAGGATGATGGCGCTGCTGAGATGGATTGGGCTTACGCACCTTGTGACTTTGAGATCAATCCTAACTTCATCTCTAAGTTGACTGGTGCCAAAGCTGGCTATGGTGCTACTAAGAAGATATTGCAGGTACAAAGAAAAGATTATAAGATTCAGGCAGCTGGCAGTGTTAAAAAGACGAACTAGTAGATGTTTGTGGGGGAAAGAGAGAATAAGGGGATTGCACTGTGTATATGCATTATTCATTGTAAATCAAGAAGCAGTGGTAGTAACTCCTTGTCGTTTTTGGCGAAACAACAAAATTGAGACTGAACTGATCGAAGCTAGAGGCTCGCACGGAACTGTCGGGAGGCAAGTAAAAGGAAACGGAAAAGTGATTTCTCTGGGAATCGTCGGGTATAGAGATGGAGAAGCACCGGTTTGAAGTGTAAAGGAAGTCAGCCTGGAACATGCTTAGGAAAGAGTTCGATGTTGATTTTATCGAGAACAGAAAGGCCCTTGACTTTTCCAGTGAATTGCTGCGTAGAGAAATAAGAAAATGGCGCTAAGGTCACAGGGCTCAGAGAGGGTGAACGGTACTTTCAAACAGCGTCTTTCTGCCCTGTACATGCTGTACGTTTGCTCGCAGCATCGATAGCTTGCAAAGTGACCCCTGCTGCTCTCATTTCACCGGCATCCTCGAAGAAATCTGACATCATTGGTCACTGAGCACTCACTTTCACTTCTTGGCGAGATATCAAAACCCACAACAACACGATCCAAAACTCGCATCCTCGACCCAAAATCAAAACACCGCCGCAAAATCATCACGATGCGCTTCGTTCTTTCCCTTCCTGATGAGTTCCTAGCCAAGCGTGGGCTTGACCGCTCAACGCTTGAGCTTCTTGCTGAGCAGGAAGAGCTGTTCCTTGCCAACAGCCGACGCTTCGAAAACTCCGATGCGCCTTTGCCTCAGGGCATATCTCGTAGCGAGATGGAAGCGATTGTTCAGCAAGAACTGGCTGAGTTTGGAGCGGCCGCCTACCCCCCATCATCGTTCTTCGGGACCTCTGGATCACTTTTTCCCCGTCGCCAACAAGCCGCCCACCATCTCGTCGCGGTTGCTTCTGCTGGCACTGCTTCACAATCCCGCGACGGCACAGATTGGACATTGATTCGTGGGCGGGTAGTCAATGCAACCAACACATATCACTCGTATTCACGAGAGGCTGGTGTAAGCATCATTACCTCACAAACTCCAGTTCATACTGACATATTACAGGGCGGTCAGTATCCAGGTCGTTATGTGTTTGAAAGAGAGCGAGTCTACCAGAGACAGCCCGACGGCACATACCGCTGGGTTGCTTTTGCGCAGTGCTCTCGCGCCACGCTGGCCGGGAGTGCCACAAAAAACCTCGAGCAGATAGTTCGAGACGTCGGCGGAAACCCTGCGACATTCAAGTCCAGGAGCGACATGGCAGACTTTGTGTTGGCCCGGGAGCGGCCTCTAGGCGTTGTTCGCAAGGAGGACGAAGCAGAGATATTCTGCGGTTCGTTTCCAGTCAATTTGGGCCCACCGGCGTCAGAGTGCTACTGGGGTGTTGGGCAGTGGGAGAATGGGGTCCTCCACATTGAATCAGCCTTGCAGGTGCAGGTGGAGGACTGGAGGGTAACACCGTATGTGGGTTAACCTGGAAACATCCTGGGTAAAAAGGCGTTGGCGGCTTCATATCGATGAGCCAAGCAGAATGAAGACATGTCTCTGTATTCAACTCTCTATCCTCCGTCTTCATTTCCCACACGTTCGCAAGCCAAAATGCTTCATGGATTAGATCTGCTCCGTAAAAGCTGTGGAATCGTTGTGTGGAATCATTCAGAGATATCTGAACTCCTATAGCATTGAGCGGGCTATATGATCTCACAATTGTAACCGTTCCAGGATCCATTACCTTGGCGTTGAGTGACATATCCAAGTGCAGATTGGTAGTGCCAGTGGTGGGCTGGGAGAGGTGGTAGGTGCTTAGCCAAGTCACATGTCCGCGCGGCGACACACAAAGATGCAAACCACTCAAACCCACGTCGCCGCGTCGCGACTTTGGTCCGCTGGCTGCCCGCTTGTCACTCACACATGACAGCAAGCGCCAACACCCCACATCAGGTGCGCAATTGTCTGCTGGTCCAGTCCGTCTCTCCTTCTCAGCGTCCAACAAGTCACGCGCCCAATATGCTTCCCGTCGCCAAACTGCGTCGGCAACATGGCCGCTGCCCTTTTTCTCTTCGACTCAAACATCTCCTTCGATACACACAAACTGCGCCTTGATGCGCGCCTCACCAAACCATGTGCCTGTACCAATGCCAAACCAAGCCCCACTGGGAGCTTGCATACAAAAGAGCTTCGATGCTGCGCTCGATTTCCTCTGGCCGAGTCTTCTACTCCAGTTGAACACGCCTGCGCTGTTGCTTTCTCTTCATATTCTTTGATCAGACCCCACACTTGTGCATTGACAGCTCACTCATACAGCCAGTTCAGCACTTGTTTGGTACCCGCGGTGGGATCCGTCTGATCTCGGGGGATACGAGCCACGATGACGGCAAACGCGCCATACTACCAAATGCGCTCCGGCCACTTCATCACCACATCCAACAATGCAAACGCTGCGCCGCCCCAGTTCGGAGCCGAAGATGACGAATATGACTTGCACGGTCCCGTTGCCGTTGTGACGCCGCTTGACCACCTCAATCCGCATTTATATTCCGACCACTCTGCGCGACAAGTGTCGGTCGAGCATACACTGGAAGAAAACCACAACCTTGTTGAATTGTTGGAGGCTGCCACGGCTGCTGACCACGCCACTCAAGCTATGGATATGAGTGATGCAGGGCAGGCGACTCATACGGCACAGGGCCGCGGCAAGAGGAAGAGACTTGTTGGCTCTCCAGCTACAGATGCCTCACACCAAGTAGACGAGCCTATCAACACCAGGCGAAAAAGACATGGCGAACCTGCGGACCCCGGGTTGGAAGACGGCGACCAGGACATGCGCGGTGATTTAGTCGACGGCAACATGTCACCCTCCAGTGACTCTCTCCTGGGCGATGCTGGCGCTGCAGGTGTCCATTCCGCTGCTGCTCTCTTCCGTCGATCATCCGAGAGAACCCGCAAATATACGCGTCCGCCAATGTCCAAGCTCTTCATGTCACTTCAGCTTAGTCCCGAGAACTTTCTCCAGCTCCAGGCTGCCGCCAAGGCACACATGCTCGACCCATCACACCCGGAAAGACAAAACTGCGTTGGTAACCGCGGCAAGGGCGATACTGATATGGTCAAACTTAGGCTCTTCAATTGTGTCCGCGACTTCTTGAGTAATGGAGCGGGTAAGCAATTCTTTGGTGAAGACGTGGAAAAGCCGGGGGAGAAGGATACAATGGAAGCTGCTCGCGCGTTGGGAGAAGAGGAGACCCCTGACGTAAACCAACGAATCACATGGCCAAGAGATGGCAACAAGATTATTGGTCTCGTCACTCCTCTGATGAGGCGCATGGTGACTAATGAGCGACAGCGACAGTATGCGATTGAGACTAGGAAAGGAGGGGCGAAGAAAAAGAACAAGCAAGGCAGTGTGGAAGCTGTTGCTCCGCGAGGCGAGCATCATGGACACGGAATGGAGCATCACTTGCAGCCAGCGTCTGATCTTAACCTGGGCCACCATTTTCAGTATACAGAAGCGAGCACGCCATCATCACTGGCACCTGCTGCGTCTCCACCATGCTCATCTCAGAAACAAGTGTGTTCTGCAGATGCAAAGCAGAAGACGGAGGGCCAGGGAGTTACATGTTCAAATTTAAAGGTAGGCTATTCGTCCTTTTCGTTCCATGTGTTTAATTACTGACGCACATTAGCTGTCCAGGGCGGGGACTACCGAACCCAACCTCTCGCACATCAACATCTTCCTCGTGCGGCCCTCACCTGGCACCACATCAGGCGTCAAAATTGGCGAGAGGCGCATCGCTGCCGACGCCCAAGCACACCTGACTTGGTATGACTACGATGACTTTGTTGGCCAAGTCAAGTCACTGCTAGCAGGCGCTATGAGTAATGACGCCGAGCTAGAGTTGCGAGTTGGGGTGCCACAAGAGCCAGGCACGGACAACCTCCGCGGACTCGCTGCCGCAGCTAATGCTCTGCAATCTGAGCGTGCCAATGAGGAGTCTGTTGCGGCAGGCAGAGCTTCAGCGGCGGCGGCGGCGGCGGCTTCAATCGAGGATGCGCCACCTGTATCGCCGTCCGTTATCTCTACCGTCACTCACAACCCCGCCCCGAACCAGACTAGCGATAGTGATATCGAGCTTCTCTCTCGCTGTGTTATCAAGTCTCTTGGGGCTGAGGGGTGGCGGGACATTCGCAACGCCGACGACTGGTACAGCGTGTTGAGGGAAAAGGCCTTTGCAGTCTGGGCGGATGGGATTTGTAATGTGCTTGTTGAGCTGGTGGACTAGGTGTTGGTGAGGGTTGACAATGGGGTTGAGCGCTTTGTGGTATCATGGCAGTTCTTCGCATAGGGCAGCGTGGATGACATACATGGCATGCATCGTCTGTACTGTATCCCCGCCTCTTTTCTGGGTCCTTTGGAGAAATCCACTGCACCGCAATATCTCTTCTCCAGCCGCATTGCGCTCTATGCGTATTTCCCTCCTCTCGATATATATACTCTCTGCCCATAGCCGCCCCCGCACCCACTGCATGCCCGCTTGTCACACGACCTTGCGGCCAGCCAACCTCGTCGATACCTGCATGCCTCGCCGGGCACCACGTCTCCAAGGGCGTGTGCGCATTCACAGTATCCTTCACCCACACAGCCACCCGCAGCGCAAACCTCCTTATACAAAGACTACCACCAACACGGGAGTGGTGTGGGCACTCTCTCGCTAGCGTCCTTGGTCTTAGGAGGAGGGGGGGATGCAGCGGCAGGCGTTGTTAGTGCAAGTGTGTGTGTGTGTGTGTGGGCGGATAGCGCGAGACGCTACATAATACAGCGCACACACACACACACAAACCGGCCTAGTATCTATCCCAGCGATGATGTATGTATGTGTGGAGGAGGAGGAGTAAGAGTCAAGGCCGTCAATCAATCAGTCCCTTTAACGGTTCGGCTAGTCTAAAAAAAAGGGGCCATGCAAAGAGGGGCAAGAGGCAAACGCACATACCCCTGGAAAATTGAGGAGCGAACGTCGTTCGCTTGAATCCACAGCTTGGCTCTTCTCGCGTGCATATTACCCGTTGCGGTAGTTTGGCGGCGGCGTGGGCCCGCCGCGAGTTTTGAGGGGGGGGGCGGTTGGAGGTGGGTATGTGTGGGCGTGCATGGGTCGCTGTGATGATGATGATGATGATGATGTGATGGTGCAGGCGGGAGATTAGTGAGAGGGAAATGATGACGTGAGGTAGTGAGTGTGTGTGTGTGTGTGTCCTATGGTGTGGGTGTGTGGGGCGCGGCATACTTACTTGGTTTGTAGCGGAGAGTTGCGGACAGCCTTATTTTTCTTCCTTCTTTTTTGCTTTTTTGCTTTTTTTTTGCTACGTAGCCTGAATTTTTTTTAATGTTTTGTTTTCTCCCGGGGGTGCTTAGCTTGAAAATGGGGGGAGGGGGGGGGCGCCTTTGTGTGTATGGGTGCTGAGAGATGGTGGGGGGGGGTTAAGGCAGGTTTCGAGACTGCAGTTTTGCTTGGGGGTGTGTGTTTTTCTTGGGTTTCATCTTGGAAGGGGAAACGGGGGGAGGGGGGGAACCTGTGGGCATGCGGGTTTAGGGTTGGATTTTTTTTCTTTCTTAGTTTAACTATGTTTTGTTTTGTTTTGTTTTGTTTTTTGGTGCGGGAGAAAGGGGTGCGGGAGGGAGGGGAAATGTTGGGGGTGTGGTGGTTGTGGTGGGGGATGAGGGGGCGCGGAGAAGAGGGGGAGCGGGGTACGGTAAGTAACCAGGGATGGAAAAGAAACAGCATGTGATTGGGAGTGGGCTAGCGCCACAATGTTCAGTTTACTAGCCTCTTTGGGGACTTTGGACCTGTTGCTTTCTCGATTTTCTCGATTTTTTTGTCTTCCTTGATGTTTGGGGGTGCGGATTCTGCGGTACGATGATAAGACTGCATTTCAGCGTCTGGGACTGCGGCATCTCATGATCGATGATTGGGTTGGGTGATGAGAGGGCAGTTTGGCGAGGGTCATGCGAGCCTACAGACGAGAAAAGAACATCTGCCGTATAGTACCTCTACCACTCGAGAGAGTATGGATAAGTTGTGAAGAAGGCTGGCAAGCGGCTTGCAGCTGTCCGGTTGAACACCCACGACGTCTCATCTAAAACATGTGCCGGGCATGTCGGACATTTACGCAGGAAACCAAGTGCCGAGATTGATATACAGTTAATCACAACGACGCACCATCATGACCATGTTTCGATGCTGGGCGCGGGGAAGCCAGGACGCTTTAAAGCGTCATTGGCCATGGTAGATGTCTAATTAATCAATGGATAAAGCGGCCTGGCACCACGAGCTATCAACACCACACACATAGCAGATGATCGCAACGCGGTGCTGGGAGATAGTCCATAGGAGTATCAGTGTAGAATTTAAGGAAGCCATGTCGTCCAAAATCACATAGAAGAAGAAGCAGCCGTCTCTTCTCCCAAAATACATGCAAGAATGAGATTGTTGTATCGTATCGCAGCTCTTGTGGCACCTGCGCAGGCGGCACTGCGCTTTGGATGCTCGACGGTCAGCATCCAGCGGCTCGATCCGCTGGTTGAGCCCGGGAAACTGCCTTCGGCGCATGTGCACCAGATTGTGGGGGGCAATGCCTTCAACGCGACCATGGATGCCGATCCAGCTGTGCAGGCCGACTGCACGACGTGCACTTTCTCCGAGGACTTTAGGTACCTATGAGCAGCCTTGTAGCGATGGAATGAACTGACAAGGTTAGCAACTACTGGACTGCAGCCATGTTCTTCAAGCACACAAACGGCTCGTACAAGCGCGTGCCGATTATGCAGAACGCGGCGCTGCCGAATGGCATCAACGGCGGCATGACGATATACTATACGCAGCAGGACTTTAACAGCAATGGGAACCAGAAGATTACGGCGTTCCCCAAGGTTTGCAGCAGCCGTCTCCAGCATGTAGCGAAACCGTAGATTGACAAGATTCCAGGGCTTCCGCATGACGGTCGGATCACCCACGACACGCACAGTCGAGGACGCAAAGAAGCACGTAGGTCTACGCTTTGTGTGTCTCCAAGACAAGAACACGCGGTTCCCCGAGACACCCGACTTCCCGTCGAAGCCGTGCAAAGGTGGCATCATGACTGTGCATCACTTCCCGTCGTGCTGGGATGGCAAGAACCTCGACTCGCCGAACCACCAGGACCACATGTTCAACACGGCGAAAGAAGCTTTCGCAGCCGCTGGTCCCTGCCCCGCGTCGCACCCGGTGCGCATGCCCCAGCTGGCGTACGAGACGCTCTGGGATACCACGCAGTTCAGCAACATGTGGCCCAAGGATGGGTCGAACCCGTTCTTCCTCAGTTACAACGACAACAAGGGCTATGGCACGCATGCCGACTATGTGTTTGGGTGGAAGGACGACAGTCTGCAGCGAGCCATGGACAGCAGCTGCATGTTCCAGGCGTGTGAGAATGGCAAGCCGTTGAAGGTATGTGCATGCGCACGTGGTCCAAAGTGCGGCGCTTCAAAGTCGGCTGACGTGTCTGTGCAGAGTCAGAATGTGCAGGCGATGAACAAGTGCCAGGTTAAACCTAGCATTCAGGAAAATATCGACGGGTGTAAGTTGTGGCCAAGTTGGCTTGTGTACAGTATTTGTGCAGGGGCTTCGTGCTAACCACGGCATATAGGGCTCGATCACCTGCCTGGGAAACCGCAGCCAATGACGTAGCTGCAAAGCAAAGTCGGAGTAGGATTTCATTTAGAAGGAGGACTGGGCGGACAGAGAGTTGTGGGCGGGTGTTTTTTTTATTTCTCTCTGTTCTTGGCTTCTGCCTCTGCCTCTGCGATATGGCCGGATGTTATTTACTCCAACTGCCGAGCTCTTTTGGTTGAGAGAATGTGACGTTTCAGATTCGTGTTGTGTTCGTAACCTAACCCCCGTTTATCCCAGACATGCATAGCTTTTTCTGGCACGATTCATGTTGACATGAGAGATCGGCCTGTTCTACGGCCATGTGTTGGCTGGGTGAAAGTGGACAGATATGGTTGCAGATTTTGGCGGGAAGAGCGGCTGTATACGATTCGTTGGACGGGGACTGGGGGGGGGCTGCACCACCACCCTGCGCCGTGTAGCAGTATTGACAGCGGCTGTCTTTGTCTAGGGAGACGGGGCTCGCGACGCAGAGAACGAGGGCGTGTGGCCAGACCACCGCCACGGGGCTTGCGAAAGCATGCTCGGATGATTTGAAAGGAATGGATTGTGGCGTGAGTGAGGACGACGTTAGTTGTCGCAGTAGGCGAGATTAGCTCCTCGGGGAATAGGTATCACGTGCCGGGTGGTCGCGAGGCTACCAGCACAAGCACTTGTACTTGGTCGTGGGATGCGGCGGCGCAACGGGCGAAAGGCGCGCGTAACGGGTAATACAGGGAGCGCAAGCAGTTCCCCAATGGGAGGGTTTCACCATGCGCAAGGAGGGGTGGTGGTGATGGTGGTGGTGGTTCAGCCCTTGGACTCCAGTTGGCTGGGCTGGCCCCACCCAGGGCAGCGCCCGTGCGCCCACGTTCCTGACCACGTGGTGGACATGCATCCCATGCAGGGCGCTTGGACACGGGGCCCAAAGGCTCAACGGCGTTACCACGTTGTGACTGTGGAGAGGGCGCTGCCGATCAGGTCGAGTCGTCGTAAATCTGCGTAAGCTGACGGTGCACAGGCAAGACGAACGGGTCCGAGGCTGTTGCCACGGCTGCCCCGACTGCGAAAAGGGCGGGAGGATCATAACGGGAGCGTTATAAGATGAGGCCTCGCGCGATATGGAACAGGGTGGAATGGGGGCGGAAAAGAGGGCAGGGCAGGGCAGGGCAAGGCAGAGAGAAAGAGGCGAAGACAGGGCAAAGGGCTGTCTGCTGGCCAAGAGGACAATACAGAGCATGTGCACGCCTTGGTATCACGTCCGGAAGCGTGTGGATACATAGGCTCGAGCCGGAAGGGCAGAGCCCCAGGAGGCCCAGCTAGGCATGGCTAGGCATGGCTAGTAGTCCCGACTCATACCACCAAGGCCGTTAGTTTGGAAGGGGGGAGATAGGGCGAGACGTGCGTACGTACTACTGCGCCTTGTAGCGCGTGTAGTTGAGGCATGTGTAATTACATGTCGCGCGCTGGTTAGCTGGAGCTGCTGGGGATTAGCTGGCCTCGCACTCGCTCTGATCAAGGGGGGCGACTCGAGCAGGAGGAAGCCCCGGGCTGGGCTGACGGGTGCGGTGCGTACTATACGTGTATGCACGTTGTCCGCGGGGATCGGCACAGGTGTCCATGGGAGAGGCTGAGGGGTTCCCGCTCGAGCAAAAACGTGGCAGGCGAGCTGTACGTTGGGCCGTGATGGTGCAGATTGGCGCACAATGACGCCGGCGTTTGGACGAGAGGCAGCGGTCGCCCCTGAGCAGCAGTCTTACGGCCTGGCTGCTTAGAGTTTGCTTCACCGCGACCATCAAGACGTCGTGACTGAGGGCGTGCGTTTCAGCGCAGTCGGAGCTCCGGCGGCGAGCATGGCGGAGCGTCGCCTTGGTGAGAGGCTGGTGGGCGTATAAGTTTCACGCCGGGTACTGTATGCGTCGAGGGCCAGACGGCTAAGTCGCCCCTCGCCCGCTGCTGACAAGGCTGACGTATTTTATCTTTTTTTGGTTGCTCCCAGCTCAGCTCCCACATCAGCATCGTCGGCGCCCTTTCTCGCTCTCTCTCTCTGTCCATCCCCTGCCGGGCAGATCTTGTCTCGAATAGTGGGCTGCACTGCTCCCTTGCCCGTCTAGGCCCTGTGAAACACGCGAGGCGCGCGACACAAGCTCAGCACACGCCCACGCCGCTCGCATCCTCCGCCTATACTGCGCCGCATCCTCTGCCCGCCCCTCGCCTGTCTTTTCTACTATTACTACCCCTACTACCCCTACTGCCTCCCCCTCCCCCCCTCCACCACCTCCACCACCACCACCGCCTCCACCTCGACTGCCACTACTGCTGCTAGCACACGCCTCGAGCCTGCCGCCTGCCTGCCGCCTGCCTGCCTGTCGCCCTCGCCCGCCCGCTGCAGCCCCACGCCCGACCCACCAGCTAATATCCATCACACGGCGCCGCGCACCATGCCCAACTCTCACGACTCCTCTCGGGCCATGCTTGCCAGTGTAAGTCATTCTTCCGTATTATCCACTGTTCGTTTCAGACAGGCCCTTGGCTGTGCCCGGGGGTCGGTAAGCGCCCGCCTGCAGGCTCCTTCGCCTCCAGCATATAGTACTTGTACTAGTAGCATGCTCCTGGCACCGCCCTTCTTCTGCCTGCTCTCCTCACACATACTCTCCCCCCCCCCACCTGTTTCCCACCACTCCTCGCACCACTGCTTTTGCACACACATACACACCTGCACCATGTCGCAACAAGCTCCGCCTAACGACCAGCAATCACAGCTCACCGGCAAGCGCACTTCGCTCCGCATGTCCACCTGCAGCGCCGCGCCCACCCTGGCTCCCTCAATTGCGCCCTCGCACCTGTCAGATGCCTCGACAGCCAACGACCCCAAGTCGCAAGACATCAAGACATGGAACGCCGGCTTCGACCGTCTCGAGGACAAGCGCCTGGTCCAACAACGATACGCCCTCAGCAGCGAAAAGAACGACGACATGAGCAAGCTGGCGCTGGGAGCCAAACTTGACCGCGCACTCGGCCGCCGCATGTCGGGCCAAGACGCCGTTTTCCGCCCAAGGACGCTGAGCGAGAAGAAGGAACTCAAGGCATAGCCATGCTAGCAACCCGCTTGTACCTCTTTTTTTCCGAGCAAAGTCACGGCCCTCGATACCACACAAAGCACGATTTCGACCTGTTATTCGCAGCCACGACCAGTCCGTTCTTCTCTTCATACCATCTACCAGTTTCTGTTTCCGTTTCAGCACGCGAGCATGACCTTTTCTGGGGGGAGAGCTTTTTCGCATGCATGCTCATGGCTTAGCATGATATAGAGAGGAGGGGAAATCACGCATTTCGGTCACTCGATGCATATCTCCTTTTTGGGAGTGGGCGACAAATAACTGAAGCACTTGCTAAGGTCATTTGGAATTCCCCTGCTGCCTGTTTGAAGCGCATCATTATTGAAATTCGCAAGGCATTGTCGTCATGGGGGGGCGAGGAGCATGGGAATTGGCTGGAAATCCCAGCTCGACACTATACCAATGGCGTTATTACCTTTTTTTCCATGCTACTTACTAATCTTCTTTGTTTTTTCTTTATACTTGCGCGTGCGTGTGTAACCCCCTGGCATGGTTCTCTCCAGCATTTCTTTTCTTTTTCTGCTTGCTTTTCCATCATCCATGGGCTGCTCCTTTTCCTTTTTCTCCTCACCCACTCGATATCAAAAACGAATGATACAAAGTCTCCCAAACTCTCACTAACAACAACCACATGGTGATACCAAGTTACACACACACTTACGCTGCAAAGCAAAATGCTTACCCATCCATTGCCTGAAACACGAGCCGCTCTATCACTGCCACTTGGAGGGCTCGCTCAGCGGAAATTACCGTCAATCAAATGTTACATGGCGTTCGCGCACGGCACGGCACGGCTGAATCCACACACGAACACCACCACACCCTCTCTCCCCCTTCTCTGTCTCTCTCTCTCTCTCTCTCTCTCTATCGTCTCTCTCACTCTCTCTGCTCACATGGCATGGGGCGCTAGCCGAAGCCACGCTGATCCCCTTGCTATTTGTCGCCCACTCACACATGGCCCCGTTATCTCTCTCCATGTACGTACAACCTCGAGTCCATGTCTAGACCCAAACCCCGCGCGCACATGGCCATGTTACACATCTGCAGCTCTTGATTATATTGATTTTCCCGCTCGCCCAACGCACGTCATGCCTGTGTGCGTTGGGCATGTGCATGTGCTCTGGAGGGGGGTGAGGATCACGGTCTTGCATGGATCGAGTCCTCTGCCAGCTGCGCCACGGAAATAACCCTCAATCTCTCCTGTCATCATCATCATCATATCGGGAGGGGAGGCACGTAGCGTCAGCATCAGCATCAGCAATCGTCATCGTGCCGTCCCCCCCGATCCGTATTCTTCATCTCGATCTCTCCGTCCTTCATATCGACGCTTCCTCGCAAAACCATACACGCCCAAGGGACATGTCGCCGTAACCGCCGGACGCGTCGACGCCCAGGAAAAAAAAAGCACTGTTATCTGCATATCTAGATGTACATCCCGTCGCACGCCCAGGTGTGCGGGGCGGGGGGGAACAGACGCATACATAGTCGACGAATAGCACGTGGTGAGCATGATACAAAGTTTGCGTCTGTATTGCTAGCTCCCCATCTCTTTTCCTTTCTTTTTTTTCACGCTCTCTGTTCTCTTATTTTTCTTTTCTTTTTTTCCTCGTCCTTCCACTTCTCTCTACAGTACACCTATCTTACCGAAACCCCCCAACTATTGGATGCGCGGGAACAAACAAAAAAGAGTTTTCACCTACTTAATCTACACCACGTGGAAACTCTAAGTAAAGAAAAATAAAAAGAATATCCGTCGTGGTACCGATATACACATATGCGCGGGGCGTGGCCCAAAAAATAAAACGGTTCCAAAGACATGCATGCACATTCCAAGATAAAAACAAAAATAAAAACATCAAGTCAAGGACAAATGCGGAAATAGGATTGGTGTGGGTGTGATATTGGCTTGGGAGAGGCGTGGTTTTGACTCGCTAGCGTTGGCGTGGCTGCTCGGGGGGGTCCGTTCTGGTGGCTTGGGGGGGGGGCTTCGCTTTGGGAGGCGTGTGCTAGCAGACTGGGGAGCCAATAAAAGGTAGACCGAAGTGTCGCGGCTCAAGGGGCGGACTGAAGAGCCGAGATAGGCGTCTTTTTTGGGGGGGGAGTGGGAATCTTGGTTCATAACAAGGTTTGTGGTTGCTAGATTTGGTTGCATCGAGAACATGGCTCTTGCGCTGGCGGGATATGAGGAGAGCTGAGGCGCTTGGGGCTGAAGCTTCGTCATGTCTGTTAATGGGTTTCTTTTTGCGACACCACTTACATTGGAATGTGAATTTCCGAGCATTGCTTGCACACATGTACGAAGCCACTTGTATTGTGCTGAATGTATTGATTCGACATTGTTGTTGTATTCCGGGACATTGGTCTCGGCTCCTGACTTAACCTTCATGTACTTTTAAACTCGTGCAGATCCTGTTATACATCACGGAGGCGTGGGTACATGGTCTCGTGTCGTGTCCGCCCGAGATCCGTCCTTGTAGATCCGGCTTTTCCCTTGCTCTAGTCATGTACGTCTCTTTTGCAGATGCCGCATGTCTATTGAACATTGCTGACGCTTCCCTTTGACTGTATTAATCTATAACGCCCATCTTAAGGTATTCGTTGCACTGCCCTTGTCGGATCCACCTCTTTCTTGTCCTAACAATAGCCTCCTACCAGAACTTTCCAGTCATCCTCCTCTCGTTGGCCAGCTGCAGCTGTTCTCGGATTCCCCTCAACTCATCTCTGTGATGCTGGCGTGTCTCTTCCAACAGTCTCACGTGCTCCTTCTTTAGCTGGATGAATTCCTCTTCGAGCTTTTCGTGCCAGGGATAGAGGACGAAGATTTGGAAGCACAGGGCCGACGAGCCAATGATGAAGTTGGTCAGGGAAAAGGTCTTTGTTATCATCATTGCAGATGTAGAGTCTTGGGCTGAGGTAGGCAAACGTCGACGTTGGCCGGATATGCCAAGTCGAATGAATTAGGCAAACGACGCGGAATCTGTAGCGCGGTATACACGAAGGACTGTATAGGCAGCTTGGCGGCTTGGCAGCTCTAGAAGGATGGAAGAATCCTAAGGCAGCTGACAGGTGGCGGCAATGGCCGGGAGAGAGTGTGAGAAGGAGAAGAAGAAGGATGAAGGCGAACGTGTAAAGGAGAAAAGGAGTGAGGGAGGCAGAGTGTCAGCAGGCGTGAAGAGGCGCGTAATATGTAAAGCCGTCTCTTGGGCCCAAAAATGGCTCATTCTAGAGTCACATGCGCTGCCTATGCCAGACATTCCAACGTGCTGTGGCCTTCAAAGTGGCATGATGGTTTCCTTTCTGGGCCAAACAGGACTAACGCCCGAAAGAAAATCAGCCCACACGGCGAAACGAACGGCAACTTGTGCCAGACATTTGCTGCCGCGTCACCGGCCCTTGACGACCACGCCTGAACAGAGTTTCAGAGAGAAGAAAAAAAGATGCAAAAAGTGGCATTCTTGTCCCCGTTGCTGCGACATGCGGCTGGTGCATGTGCCGTGCCACGTGGACATGGGGGCGGGTGCGGCTGCCCCTAGCGCTGCGCCACTAACCGTCGCCACCCTTGCCTGCACGCGTGCCTCTCGCCAACGCTCTCCGCCGAGCAATGCTATGCTGACTGGCATTACGGAATGAGGCCCTTCGTGGAGGAGACGGTGAACAGCACACACGTCAAGACATTACTGGCCGCTAACAAACGTCATCGTCAGCAAGTGCTTCCGTTGGAGCCGCGACCCAAGATACCCCTAGCATCATCCCATATAAGCTCACCGGACAGCCGTTGGGAGCTGGAATCAATATACAGCAACACTCCAAGGATGACCGTCCCAAGCATTGAGCTCCTCACAGCAGCAATTTCTAATGGCGAGAAAGTTTCGTTTTCCTGGAAGAACTCGGTATACCCTACAAGACCACACCTATCGGCCTATCCGCAGACGAGCAAAAGAATCATTCATTTAGAAATCAATCCCAATGGCCACATCCTGCCCAGTCTTCGAATCAGGCAATACATCACTCTACCAAGTCCAGTGCTATGACAAGGAACTTGATGATGCTCTGAAGACGCAAATGAGGCCATCAAATGGTAACCTACTTTTTTTTTTAGAACACCGGTGTGGGGCCGATGCAAGGCCAAGCGAGCCATTTTGTAAGATACACCCCTGGAACGATTGACTATGGGATTAAGCGATACCAAAACGAGACAAGGCGGCTGGACTTGGTTCTGGATACCCGCCTTCACGACAGAGACTACCTGGCGGCTGAGGAGAGCCGAATATACAGGGCCCGTTTAAAGGATGGTCCCAGAAGGCCAGAAGCAAGTCGTTGGAATACATAGCAAATAGCGCTAGTATACAGATGATTGCAATGACTGGAGTAGATCAAAGGTTCTTGTCATTTTTGACGTGATTCAGCCAAATTCTTTTGAGATTATGTGGTAGTGTCTTGGATATCCAAGTGCTGTAGTTGAGCGACTGATAGGTGAGTAGATTATGAGAGAATCGAGCAGATTACCCCTAGAGGCTCGAAATAAAACAACCAAAAATACCAGGCTTGATCCACCTAATCATGGATTGCTGCATCTCGGGTCTATACAAAGTGACTGATCAAGGCTTAGTCTATGTTGCGACACCAAGCATACAATTTGGGATAAGTGGTGGACTTTCAAACTATACATCCAGTGTAACATTATTCTTCAAGCACAAACTTCATGTACCTTGTAGTTTGAGAGAGCTGGGTCGCTGTCATGACTACCCATTTTTAGATACCAGATCTATCCAACTCATCCCACTAGATCAATCTCTCGTTAACTTGGATTCCCACACCTTACCCCACGACACTGCATCACAATGCTTCCAAATTCTCCCACGTCATATTCTGAACAGTAAAACTAAGAACAATTCACAGACACGTTTTATTTCACCGGAATCTGTAGTGTTCAAACTGGGTAATCCAAGTAGTGGCAACTAGACCGGCGAGACGGAAAATAACTGTTGGCGGAAATTCGCCCATCAATCTTGCTCGCCCAGTGCCTCTGTACTCAGTTGATCCAAGTCTTATTTTCCCCTTGCTTATGAGTATCTTCAACAACGGATATAGAGTGTGAGAAACAAGTAAATGGGTATAGCGAGATTAGACCAGCTTTGAGCTCACTACTGTTTTTTGTGTTACTAGCAGAGATGTCAACAATCAAGCTCATCAAGCCGAGCTAACGCGATATAGTAATGATTAGGCCTAAAAAAGCTAGCCTATTACTGTATCAAGTTAGCTCGGCTTGATGAGCTTGATTGTTGACATCTCTGGTTACTAGCATAACTCCTCACGTTAACAGCCTCGTCCATCTTTTACTGGCCTCTATTGCCCTTAAATAGTATTTTAAAACGCTGTGTCGTTCGCGGACTGGCAATGCTACGTTTCCTTGCCCAGGTAGCTGCTGTTATTACAGGTAAGGATGTAAATGATGGTAAACGCGTACCAGAAAGCCAGCCTACAAGTACTTTGCATGAATCGAATTTGAGGGAAACTCACTATGAACTTGGAGAATAGTATCGTTTTCTACCTTCAACGGCCGAGCAACACAGCCTTAGTTACTAGTTCTCGCCAAGGATATACTTAAAAAAAAAGCAACTAGCTTACAATGTACGGGTCCAGCATGAAAGAATACGAGACAAGCTGATTAATGGCAACTAGAGGAACGAATACGATACTGAAACATTTGTCCAACTCAACCGTTTTGAACGTACTGAGTTCAGGCTAGTCTGACGAGATTTTGTATATTGTCAACCAGGCAGCGTACGACAACCAATTCTACCCCGTTCAGCCGTTGCACGCGTATTATTCAAATAAGCCGCCCGGTAGCCACCGTATATTTCAAGCGATTCCTAACCACTCCCACAAGTATATACAAGTAATCAACTTTATGGAAGTATTTTTCTCAGATGTGATACCCATATTCGATTCGCGAAAAAAAACCAGAGAATCATATACATGTAACAAATCGAACATGGCTGCAAGTAGCCGCTGAGCAAAGTCTGCTTCATGAACGAGATCTCGCGTTTGTTCAAGTCCCTCACTAGGTCTTCGCAAATCATGACACCGCATAGTACTGCCTATATATGGTGGTAGCGATAGAATACTGCAATATGAAAGAATCCAGGAACCATGCTTTTGACTCGAAATCGGTCGATAGGCGAGGAGACGGACAGAATAGCAGTTATTGGAAAGCTGTCGGGGTGGGAGGTGGTTGTCCTCTTCTATCTATCGCAGCTATTGTATGTATCCCGTCCGAAACGTAGTCACGTGCGTAATACTACATGACAATATTACAGGGTATGGTGCTTTAGTGGTCTCTTTTTAATGTGTACTATACGGCGTTGTGAAAGCTGCTATGTTAGGACGTTAAAATCACGCATAGGATAAACGTACATAGAACAAGACATGGTTGCTGAACTATTGGGCAAGGCTCCCTTCATAGCTACATAGTATCATTACCAAAGTCAGCAGTAGCAAGGGGCTACAAAAGGTATACACGACCTACTACGAAGCTGAATTTTGTCAAGGGTACAAAGCAATCCGACGGAATCTTTGCTACGGCTCGTGTTGGGTATTATGGCGTCTCTGATGGACGGATCTTGTACGATAAACGGGTTACTGGCACATGGCCTGAATGCCTGACAGGCCTCCGGCAAGCGTCATTTGAATCATCATGGACTTCTACCGCTGCACCTGCAATACCTGCCTCGGAGTATCCTATCTGCAAACAGTTGTCCGCACACCAATGTCTATGATTGAAGTCTAGTATTGCGAAAAAACAGCCACTCCCGCCATGTCACCATTCTCTCCATGCAAAGGTTTGTCCAAGACGCAGGGGTATATCAAGGAATTTCCCCCTAGTCCTCACAGCTAAGTTCATCGCTCGAACCAAGAAGGCTGGAAGCAAGAAAGCTCGGTATTGCCATGTTCGTCAATATCAGCGGTGTCGTTCTTCTCGGATCCGTACGTGAAAGCACTTTCTTGGGAGAAAAGAAAGGATGGACTGGGCAGCTGGCTGTTCGAGTTCTTGACTTTGATATCTGAGAAGATACCACGATTTACCGATGTACAAGCAGCTGAAGTACAGATTACAGCTAATGCTGTTTTCTGCTTCGTTCAGAAACCTCCGGCCCAGTGATGTCGTGTGCAACTCCACCCACCTCTCCGATGAAGCTAGATACACGGCGGATTGACTGCTAAACGGTAATAAAACCATGCCACGACACTCGGTCTCTTGCAACTACAAAACGCCGTTGCAGCAGAGAATGTAGTCGTCATCATCGGCTCCTGCTACACACCCACATGCATCATCATGTCGTCCAAACCTCAGCAGCACACCCAAGGCGACAAGAATACCTACACAGCCAGCACACTCACTCCAAGGCGTATCAGACCGCGCAGCAAACACACGGCAGAACAAGATTGCAGGTTCCCTCCCCCCTCTCATCCTTGCCTAGCACCATTCACCATGTTTTGGCTCAGCCCTACGTCCATGGAGCCAAATTTTCCACTCGGCTCTAGAAACTATACTCGCGTTTCGAAGCACCCCAAAGATGCCTATGTGGCATATGGGGATATGACATCACCCATGGAATTTCCCCAATCAGCCATGTTTTCCCGTACTTGGTGCTGTCCAAACTACGTATGTGGGTTTCAACTTTGCGTGCCATGGGGGGCTACTTAGTCGTTTGCTTACTCGCGTTGAGTTTGGCGTGCACCACACACACACACACACACTCCTCAATCGCTCACCTCGGTGTTTGCTAGCTAGCACGTCCGCATCCGCATCCGCATCCGCATCCGCATCCGCATCCCCATGTGCGCGCCATTAGCAGCGGGTGTCTGGACTCAACGACTGCTACTTAGCCGAACCTTGACGCGCGTCGGTACCGGGGGAAATGTGTAGTTCCAAGAGAGAGAGAGAGGGGGGGGGGAAGAGGAGATGGGAAGAAAGGAAGGGGCAAAAAAGGAAACACGATGACTACTGACTCTGCTAGTGGTGTCTTGGGATGGAAAAGGAGAGAAAGAGAGAGAGATAACAGCAGCTCACGAGTCATCGTTGCCCTCGCGCCAGTGGTACAGTAAGTAAGTTAGTAAGCTAGCTACATAGCTCCTCAGCTGCGCCTCCGCCTCATCCGGTCCGTTGATGACCTAGCCACAATCTGTAGTGCGACTAAGCCAGTACGCGTGCTGCAGTAGCAGTAGCAGTAGCAGCAGCAGCAGCAGCAGCAGAGAAAGGACATACCAAGACTACACTTGACAGGGAACGCATCATAGACATTCCAGGCAAACAAAAAAACGACGTAAATAGTGTCAAACCTTGATAGAACATGGACTATCACACTCACGACTGAAACTTGACACAGTGGTCTACAGATGCTTTGCATTGCACACTCCCGATGACCAGCGATGCGGGCGATGCCGCGAGCAAGATGGCATGGTTGGGAGATGAAGGAACAGAAAAGAGGGTGTGCAAGTGAAAAAGCTACTACTTACTTACTTACCCTCCGAGATAACGAAAAGTCTTTGACACGATGCGATATGTATAGGAACATGCTTTTCAGTGACCAAGCGTCAGGACTACCACCCGCCCCCACCCCCCCTTTTTTTTTGCGCCTCCATCGATCGATGATGGTAGGGCCGGGTGACTTGGATATATGGGATACGGGCACACCCATACGGGCACAGCATGCACACACATGAAGTGTCTTGGCGTATTGAAACGGTAGCGGGACAGAGGGCGTTTTGAACGTGCAGCGAACCACGACGACGATAGGACGGTCGATTTTTCTTTCTTCTTGCTTTCTTTCTTTGCCACGCGGGATGGTATCGATCAGGACGGGAAAAGAAGGAAAAGAGCGGAAAACAAAGAGAGACAAAGAGGGGAAAGTCAGCCGACTATGGGATGGGATGCAATAATAGTGGTGATGGTGGTCGAATTAGTAGCAGCAGCATGTCATGCGTGGTATACACGCTTGCATATTCCTGTTATGCCTTGAGCCAACCCCATGTTGCCCAGATAAAAAGGGCCGTAGCCAACACGATGAACAGGTGTTTACTCGATCGTTGGGCGATAACAAGAAGACTGCAAAATGTTGGCAGTGGGGGGGTCTAGACGCACATGGATGCAGTAGTATGTAGAAAAGCAGGTTCAGGATAGAATGGGAATAAGTGCAGGAAGCAAGGACGTTTTTTCTGCAGTGGGGCTTAACCTAGCTGGTAGGTAGCACCAGCACCAGCACTTGGGATTAGGTTTGGGCTGGGGCGCGGATGGGGGACTTGTTAAAACTCCCGAAGTGGGGGCGCGGCAACACATGTCAAGAGCGAGCGGATGGGTGGACGGGCGGACGGGCGGGCGGCGAGCAGCGGGCTATGGGACAGACAGGTAGCCAGGCGCGTTGGTCGCACTTGTGCTCGCCCGCCATCGACTCGATGGTATGCATAGAGAGACCTGATCGACTGACCACAAGGTTGATGGGTGTAGTGTGGTGAAAAATTCAGCATCGTCGATTGCGCGAGTGGGGAGGCAGAGAGTGAGAGGAAGATTTGCGCATCGTCGGTGCGGGTATGCCGGTGCACATGGTGTCAGAAGTCTAGACGAGCGGATATATGGGGTCAAGGGCTTATCGCGATGTGGTCAGGCTGATGGGGATACGGGAAAATCAGAGCCGCGATGGAACGAGTATGGTGTAGGGTTTAGGTGGAGTGGGTGCAGGTGCAGTACGAGAGACCTGGCACCATGCACATGGGATTTTTTTGGGCAGCGTGACCAAAGGGACGGAAGGGCGTGTACGTGCGCCGAGAGCGGGAAGGAGGCGGAGGAGAAGATGCGCAAAAGGAGAAAAAGGCCCCATGGTGTACGGGAGATCTTCGATGGGCGCTGGCTGCATCGTCGATGAGGGGGGTAGTGGTGGTGGTGGTTTGGACGAGCTCCGCGGACCAAGTGTCAGGGCGCGAAAAGAAAGGGCGCGGCTTGGCGGCCGCAAGGGGACTAGCGGGGATACGAGGGCGAGGTTGTGAGTGGAGGGCCATTTGCCGTGCCAACCCTAACAGCGAAGCGTGCACAGCTACGGAGCTCTGGTCTATCAGCTTGATCTGGTGCTGTCGAGCGAGGAACATGCCAGCTGCAACTCTCAGACACCGTTGAGACCCTATGACAGGATGCTGTCCATGCGTCCCGCGACCCAGTGCGAAAAGCACCATGGCTGTCGACCCGGTCCATGGCCATGCTGGCGGAGGGAGAGACAGGCGCGCATGCACGTGACGTCCAGGGCACGCCCGCTTCTGCCTGCTTCCCCCCCTACGCGTAGCATTGCGTGCATAATAGGTGTGGATAGAAAAGCCATGTCAATCTCGATACCCAGAACCTTAATTGGCAGAGCAGCAGTAGTGTAAACTGAACAGCTGCTACGCGTGCTGGCCAAACCCAGTTTGGGCCCTTAGTCTGCTGCTTGACTTGTCTGGGGGCGGCCCAAGCAGCCAACGACGGGCCGCGGAGGGCACCCAGTGACCTTGAGCGCTTGTCTCCTTTGAAGAGGGTGGTTTGCGATCTTTTCGATCTCTTCGATCTCTCGATTTCGCCATTTCCCCCAGGTCGGACTCCGAAAGCATGTTTGTTATATTGACTCGGTATAATCAGTGTGTGTGTGTGCTGCATGGCGCAGCGAAATTTCCCGCCAACGCTTGTTAATAGCAAAACCAAGGTGCATGACCGGAAAGAAGCAAGGTCCTTATCTGATGGCGAGCGAGATTAGAATTTCCGAAAGAAAGAAGAAATAACCTGAAAAGAGAGAAAGAGAGAAGAAGGAAAAAAATCACCATGCACCCACCCACAAGGCAGCGTAGCGAGTTGGGGGCCGCTCATCTTGCAGGGCCAGTACCCACCTGGGCCTGATCCATCTGTTCTGCGCATCGAGGGTAATCGGATTTTCACAATTCGCATACCCACAATTAATCCAAAGGGCGTGTGTGGCGATCAGGACCAGTTGCTTGCATATACGCCATGATTGTGCGTGCGCATCCCTCTAGCGCATGTCATCATGGAGCCTGGTCGTGTTGCCCTGTCTTTGGGCCCTCGCCTCCAGGTGCGACGACGACGACGACGACGGTGAGTGCCGTAGCACCGTGACATGACTGTGACTGCTCGGCCTTCAGCAGCAGTCTAGTGGATTATCGGCGACAAAGAGACCATGGCCGCTCGAACCGTATGCGTATAGCCTCGAAGCGTCGAGGTGTAGCGGCAATGGCTATTGAAACATGGGCAAAGGGGAGCTGCGCTCGGGGGAGAAACAATATGCACGCCACAGCTGCAAGGCAACGTACGCCATGGTCAAGAGGCTGCACCGCGATAGATTGGGGGAACGGTGGGGTCAGGGTGGTGCCCTTTGGTGGCGCGCGGCACAAACAGCGACAGGGCAGCTGGCAAGGCTGGCGGTTGGCGGCTGGCCTTGTTCTTGCAGCCGCGGCACACAGGCATGCTCTTGTTTCATCACGCCTTCATCCTGACGTGACTGCCCGCCCGCCATTGACGCAACTTGTTTGACGCGTCGATGCATGTTGGTGTCGAAACCAAAAAAATATCGCCCGCCTCCCTCACACACTATGGCCGTTGATGGCTAGTGTGCTCCGGTGATGCCTTTGCATGGGGCTTGGTCAACTTCCGAAAAAAGATGCTCGCTGCGCGTCTTGGCAGGTACAGACACACACACACACACACTCTCTCTCTCTCTCTCTTGCTGCACTTTGTTTATGGCTGCTCCACCAAGAACCGGTCGCTAGCTGCTTCGACTCGCTAGCCTGTCCGTGACTGACATCGCCGATCCCCTGTTAATATTCGCCGGCTCACGCGGCTGTCACAGTGCAATCTCCAGTGCAAAAAACAAATTTTTACTGCCTCGGGGCATTCCATATTGCTCTAGCTTCACATTGGCTATGCTATCCTACACGACGCTCGGGGGGTATCGTATTCTCAAATCATCAAACCACTCAGCGAATGCGCCGGAATACAGAGGGTGCAAAGGCCAGCTTCGGTTTTTTCCATGTTCCGCACGCTACGCCCTTCCTGTCCAGGTTCCCCTTGCCCACGCCCTCAAGACGTTGGCTTTGTTGGGCAGCGCCAAAATGCGCTGCAAGTCGCCTTTTCCTCTTGCCTGCCTTTCTCGTGCCTGCCTTTTCTTGCCATGCTCCTGTCTAACTCTCTCTCTCTCTCTCTATCATTCCATCTCTCTTGCTGTGGTCTATTGGCGCTTGAAAAACGGCGTCCTCTGATTTTTTTTGGTGCGATTGTTTCCAGGGCCGGGTACGCAGACGGCAATGTACGTGTTTGTAGTGGTGCATGTGACAGGATCCATGTCGACAACGGCGTAGGGTTGGCCAGTGCCATGGGCGTATATATATATATGTGTGTGTGTATGTGTACTTGCAACGAGCAGTGTGGGGCGGATGGGCGACAAGCCTCAGCCAGCGCTGTAGCCAGTCATTCTAGCGCAGTGGCTGCAGTAGTAGCGGTTGGTGCCAATTTGGTACATGTTGGCGAGGCACTCGCGGCGGCAGCGGCAGCACGACAGGGTAGCGGGCGAACTGAGGCCACTGCTCGAGGCCGACGAAGACGACGACGACGAGCAGTTGGAGGCATCCGACGAGGCGCTCGAGGCGCGGTGCTGGGGCTGCAGAGGGTCGGCGGCCGGGCGATGGGCAGCGTCTGTCTGCAGCTGCAGCACGCGCGAGGCATCCGCCGAGGCCGACATGAAGGACGGCGGCACGGGTCTGTAGGCCAGCAGCGGGTTGGTGGGGTCTGAGGGAGTGCAGGCCGAGTACTCGGACACGGGGCTCTGCGTGGGCGTCTCGACAGAGAAGTGGGCGGCCGGGACGATGCTGAAGTAGCAAAAGGGAGTAGAGGTGGAGAGGGCAGCGGGAGGAGCGTGATGTGCCGTCATGGTCTGCTGTGTGGATGTTCGCTGAGGATGACGGGGGGCGTGAATCAGCAGGCTGTAGAGGGATCGCAGTTGGCTATATGCTCCCCGGCCGTCGTTCGATGGCCGATCGGCCACTCGCAGCCCGGCCAGCTCGACGACGCCGGGCTCGGGGGGCGGCGAGTGATTGGCGTGTGGCTGGGGCGTGCGACTGCCTCCCCTGGCCGGCCGTGACTGCCTTGGGAGCGCGCTGCAACTGCCCAAAAAGGCGCGATCCAGGGTCGTGGTCTCGATCGCGGCTTCCCTTGCAGCCCGCCGCCCGAGCACCTGCACCACCTGCACCTGCACCAGCACCCACACACACACACCTGCGCCTGCCCCGCACCCAAAGCCAATCGTCGGACCCACGTCGCGCCCTCCACCTCCACCCACACCCGCTGCACACACACGCTCTGCACATCGCGATCGCACATGGCCAATTTGCCTTGTTGCATCGCCCGTCCCCAGCAACTGAAACCACGCTTTGCACGCTTGCACGCTTGGCCCAAAGTTGAACGCTGGGAGCAGCATGTACATGCAGGTCCACGTCGGCATGCAACCTCACAACAGCCATCATGGGGGGAGGGGGGGGGAAGAGAAGCAGAATCTCTCCGGAGGGCGAGGCAAGGTTTCGTCCGGCTGAGTCACCGGGGGCCAGCGTCGTTTGTTATCTTCTTGAAACGCAAGACCCGGGGGCCGACGGCAGCAGGGGACATGTGTCTTGCACCGTGGCACCTTTGATTAGGTGGTGGGGATGTTTCGGAGCATGGATTGCGGCAGCCACTGTGGGTGCTATGTCGAGAGGGCGTGAGCCATTACTGCGCGGGCGTGGTGTTACAAGGCGTGTACTAGCATTTGATATGGGAGCAGCGTATGTGTAGTGGTCTGGCGTGCTTTGTTGCTGCTAAGGCGGTGCTAAACGAGCAGGGGCCTCGCATGTCCAAAGTAGTTCCTTGCAACGTGACCTGGTGTTCACGGCCATGAATCTAGACCGCAAGCCAACGGTTCGGCCCGCTGAGACACCGACAATGGGCAACAAACGCTACGAGGAGCGTGGTCGTGGTCGCAGAAACCCGCGGTACATGATGGAAGCCATAGCTAGCACCAAATATGCCGCATGCAGAGGTCAGGAGAGATGGCGCGCGAGACGATGGGCCATGGCGAGAGGGCCGGCGGGCTGGGCACGCGGACAATTGGGTAGGCAGGCAGCGGATTGCGAGGGCCGCACGAGTCCGGAGGAGAGGGATGGGCCGGCATGTGTGTGTGTATGTATGTATGTACGTACATGCGTACATGCGTACATGTGCGGTCGGTGGTTGCGCAATCCGTGGGTTGCTGAGCAACGGCGGTGGAGGCTGTGCCAGGGGACGCCGACACAGTCACACACACACATACACAGTCAGCTGTAAGCAACGCACGAGGAACGTGTGAGAGCCACGTAGCCAAGCCGGCGCAGCACGGCGGCGGCGACGGGGGAGGGGGGGTGCGGCGGTGGCAGTGAGTGGGCAGTCGTCGTAGTCGTCGTCGTCGTCGTCGTCGTCGGCGTCGGACCAGCGCAACGGCAAACAAGAAAAGACGAGGGCGAGCGTGCACGGTGCCCTCCTCAGGGTTGGATGGATCGCCATCCACCCACGGTGCGTTGCATGGCTCAGGCCGAGACGCTCCCTTATGACTAGGCACATTGATGCCCATTCCAACCCACCCCAAGCCGAAACTGCACGGCGTCTTGTGGCAATCGCTCATTCGAGTGTGGAGCTGCCACCCTGTCTCGCAAGGGGCCAGGCTCGAAACCCATTCGATAGCAACGTGATCAAGTAGTAGACAAAGCAAATAAACTCGCAATCGCGTCTACTAAATCCCAGGCTTGTTTGTTTTGCAGCCACTCAGAAATCGCCGCGCAGCTCCAGCTCAGCAGCAAACAAGAGCAACATCTGGTTCGGATCTCTTACACGCAGCCGCTGAGGTGTGACGGGTCCCAACGTAGACCGCAATATTGGGCCACATGGCCAATCCCCGTTGGGACAATGCCGTTGCTTTTTCTCCTGCACCAGATAAAAAGCAAATCAAGCAGGTCGACATGGTTCTGGCTGCTCGGACATGCAACGTGGGACATTGCCCTTCCAAACCATGTGCACGGGACAAGTGTGTAGTTTGTCCGACTTTTTTTTTCCTCCAAGGGTTCCGTGGAAGGCCTACACAAGTGTTGCGGTGGGGTGAACAAGTAAGCATGGGAGCCTACTTTGCACGTCCACCTCGCCCTCATGCCACACCCGGCATCCGAGGCTCCGATTGTGGGGGCAGATCCACGGATTGCGGCGGAAAGCATGTACATGTAGGTAAGCTGTAAGCACAGCATCGGCGCGCCAAACACCCCCTCGCTCGCTGCAATTGACCGAGTCTCACTGTGTTTGTTGAAGAGGGGGTGGTGCAACCCTACAGGGCTTACGGCAACAGAGCGGTGTGGGCACGTGACCAAGTCGTGGGCTAGACTCGAATGCTTCCCCCCATGAGCTAGACAGCATCCATTGGTGGCGTCGATAGTGACGGTCATGTGCAGTGTGCTATATGGGAACATATACATAGTACGCACGTCTGCTGCAGCCTCTTGACCTTCTCTCCAAAGCTTCTGGCACGTCTTGTTCTGGCGCCCTGCGATAGTCCTCGATAATCGCGCAAAACGCGCCAGACCAGGGCGCAAAATGGCGATGTCGGCCGCAAAACAGCTGCACGGCTGGCTCAAAATGGACGTCTGTATCGAGGCCCCATGTGCGACGTCAAATCAACCCTGATAGCCACCCGCCGCCATCGTTTTTTTCTTCACCTACGCCCTTCTCCCCCAGTGCCAGTGTCGCCTTGCATTGAGTCGGTGCAAAAGGCGCTCCCCACGTCACTATCGCAGTAATCGTCACTGGCCCGCTGCGAAATACCGACACATTGCCCCACCACCAGGTCGACCCCTCCACTGCGCGCCTGCAAACTTCACTCCACCAACACCCAGTACACACATCTCTCTGCATAATGGGAAAGCCGCCGAATCTATACGCCTTCCAAGGCACCGCCGAGCTGGCTCCGAGCCTGCGCACCTATGTGCTCGATGCGCAGAATGCCGCGCTCGAGCGTCATCACGTCTTTCGTGTCGCCGTCTCCGGCGGCTCGCTGCCCAAAACGCTTGCGCAGGCGCTGCTAAAGGAGACGAATGGCGAAGGAAGAATCCAGTTCGACAAGTGGGAAATCTTCTACGCCGACGAGCGCGCCGTGCCCCTCGACCACGAAGACAGCAACCACCGGCTGGTCAAGGAGGAGCTCCTGGACAAGATACCCGCAGACTTGGGCACCCCCAAGGTCCACCCCATCGACGTCAAATACCTTGATGATGTGCAAGAGCTGGCCGACCAGTACGAAAAGACCCTGGTCAGCGTCTTTGCCGCGCGCGACAGCGTCAAACTGCCGCTCTTCGACCTGCTTCTCTTGGGCTGTGGACCGGACGGACACACGTGTAGCCTGTTCCCTGGCTCTGACCTTTTACGCGAAACCGAAGCCTGGGTCCTCCCCATCTCCGATTCTCCGAAGCCTCCACCGAAACGTATCACCATTTCACTCCCGGTCGCGCAACACGGACTTAAGATCGCCTTTGTTGCGACTGGCGCGGGAAAGAAGGACATTATGCGCAAGATATTCGATACCGACGAGGGCCAGCAGCTGCCGTGCGGCTTGGTCAATCTCAAGGGTGCAGATCGCGTAAGCTGGTTTGTCGACTATGCTGCTATCGAGGGAGTCGCCTTCCCAGCTCGCCGTGGCAGCTTGTGAGCAGACATGGGGCCGAACGAGGCACCTGCTCCCACTCTATGGCTACGGTCCTTCGATCATCAAATGCGGGTAGCCCGGCCTTACCAAAGAGGATATGCGGCGGTGCTTTGGCGAAAAGGGGAATCCGCCGTGCAATAGTTGGGAGAACCGCATCACGAAGTAAGCATTGTGTCAGGCAGTCAGCTTAGGTACAATTAGATCACGAACCTTTTACGAATCATTCATGTAATCTCAGGCCATGCTCATCCCTAACAGCTATCGATAACCCGCACAGGCCATTTCGGGCATAGCGCCATGTGCCCCGAGCTTTGGCCTGTAAACACCGTGACACCTCATGTCTCGTGTTAGCACATTCCTTTGACACCACCAGCTCAGCTCAGCCCATCCGCGACAGTGTCGTTTTTCCCCCAAGATGACTGCTAAGCCTGCCTCGCAAATAGGAAGAATCAGCGCTGCGCCTCCACGATCCCGGGTAATTGCTACATAATATCGCCCTTGTGACATGGTAAGACCTAACAGCTGGCAGAATCTTGGGGCCGTCATTTCCGCTGAAGGCGATCAGAATACGACACACCACCATGTAACTGGTATAACGCGTCCTCAGCTGAGCAGACCGCAGCCGCCGCAATGTGATGCGGACGGCGGAAAGCCCCGCAGCTTGCTGTGTGTACATTCATTGTCAACACCCCCTAAATGCACTAAACTAACTGCTACCCTGCACACAGTCCTCAGCCTGGTCAGCACAGGTACAATACGCGTTCGAGTATCCTTCCAGAACCTTCTGGTCTGGATTCGAATGCGGTGAATACGGGAAACACGTCAAGTGACGCCCAGGCACCGCCAAACGCTGCATCCCCGGCGCAAGAAGGACACGCTCCAGCCCCGGCGACTGGGCGGCCTCGTCTACGATCAATGTACCAAAATGGCACCCCTTCGACTCAACTGGCTGCTCCCAACGACAAGGCCGGATCACGCTCTATGCGTCCGCCCGCTGCAGTAAGCAAGCCCGCTGAGCCCCCAAAGGTCGGGCTGGGTCGATCTCAATCGCTGCGGAAGCCAGCGTCGACATCCCAGACTGCTCAGCCATCAAGACTGGGTGGTCACGCTCGCACACAGTCGACTAGCACTATATCAGCCGCACGACGGGATCCTGCCAAATCTAACCTGGACCGCCCAAAATCCCTGTTGGCAGCGCCAGGCCGTGGCTCAAAGGCCAGCACTGCATTTGCAGATGCACTACCCAGCACAGCCAAAACCTCAGCCAGAACTACAGGGTTGGGACGCGCAATAAGTACTAGAGCAAGGCCAGAGGCATTAGCTGGCGCCACGGGCAGTGCTGCGGTGCCCAAGACAGAAGAGCAGGTTGCGGCTCCGCCAAAGCGGAAAGAGTCTGCAGTAGAGGAACCCAAAAAGACCAGCCGACCAGCTTTCAGCACTCTTCAGCAACACTTTACACCACGGAAAACGGGCAAAGCCCCTACCTCGACGTTCATCAACCCCGCTCCCCAGCCTGCATCCCATTCGATTCCTCCAGAGATAGCCTCTCTCCAGTCGGAACTACTGCAACTCCATCTCTTGCATCAGACTTCTGCACATGTAAGCCGGCATTGGGAGCAGAGCGCAAAGCGTGCTTTACACACAAAGTTCAACGAGGTGGCCAGTTTATATCAGGTCATGCTCGAAAATGAGCGCGCTGGCCAAGAACAAAAGAACCTCCAATCGTTGCTTGAATGGAGCACTGGCGACTCGACTGCAGGCCTGGTCGAACATGTTCAAATTCTCTCGGAGCCGCTCCACGAGCTTCCTTCGTTAGTTGAGCCAGGTGGACGTTTACAGCGTCTTGTGGTAGATTTCGAGCAATGGATGCAGTGGGTTCAGGAAATACGGTCCGTTCGGAGTGGCCATGCTGGGGGAAACGCGGCCCTTGGAACTATCGAGGGCCTGGGAGATTCTTGGGAGGCCGAGACGGCGGCGCTGATGCGAAAGTTGACGGTGTTTGCTCGCGATTTGGAAAGGCTGGCGCCTCCGACGCCCGGTTCCAGCATTGCATCCATGGTCGATGCATGCACGTCCATCTTGCAGGGAATTCTGGATGAGCTGCAGACGATGCAGAAGATTGAAAGGGAGGTGGTTGCGAGGGAGAAGCTTTGGGTTGAAGATCGTCTTCGAGTGATCGCGCGGGATGTTGGGATGCACGTAATAGATGGTGGAGGTGACACGGCGGCTTGGCGCGAGTAGGACGGTGAATGGCCAGCCGCAGCTGCATGCAACTCTCCTTCACCGGTGGAAAAGTTACATTGACTTCACGCACACCTGTTTGGTCCTGGCACTCTTCTGTTCCGGGACGAATGCGACTTTGGAGTATTAAAACACTGGAGGCCTAAAACATGGTAATTACTCGAGCAAACAGCGACAGGAGCCAGCATCTGTGGGGATCCATACAAGCGCGGGTGGGCGTTGTATCTGACCGGGGTCTTCGCCCAAGGAAGCCTGATGATCATGACATTGCTGTGCCGTACGGCCGTAGCTGATTATGATTTGTACTGCATCAGCCATAGCACGGCCCAATATGCCTCACATGCGCAGTGTGCTGGCTGCATACAGGTTACAGCACATCAACAGCAAACATCCGGGTATAACTAACTGCGTGTTGCAAGAGGGTCGCCCCTGAGGCTGCAAGATTCGCGGCATCCCGGCCTTTACAGGAATGCACAGGGGCCCAAGGCCCAGGGTATGCCATGTTTCGGTATCGCTTCCGTACATGGCATGACCAGGGCTCGCGAGGACCTTGTACGATTCCGACTGACTAACCCGCGCTAATCTCGTAGAAGGTAGCACTCATCATTACCAACAATTATCCATCCGTCTTACTCAGCAGTCCTCCCCCACACGACATGATGTCTTTGTGTGCAGGAATTGCCTTTGCGGGCATTTCACACCTCTCCAAACTCCCCTCGCCTCTGTCGGCACGGTGCTGCCGAGGATTCTGCACTCGAAGCAGTACACCAGCCCTCGTTCCTTGAATTAGCCCGCACACCAAAGCCCTTTTGTCCTTTTTCTCTGCTAGCCTCGTTTGCTCAGACTTGGCTTTCCTTTGCCCCGAATTTTCCGAGTGCAAACAGGATCAGATACGGTTGTGGCGCTGGCCAAGTGTTGGTCTACTGCTGCGGCCCTTTGTGTACATGGACGCTTCACAGTCCTGACCTCCACTTCAGTTGATACGTCACACTGAATACACCACTGCCTGCTTGATGTGCGTTACAGTTTGATTATTTACATGTATTCTCATTGCAATACTTGAATTATCCCGGACAGAGGTTCTATGCCCAAGCATCCTGTACGGCTGCCAAGTCGACGCACATCACTTCTCGCCTTTTTGAAACCCCATTTTTTACAAGGTTCACCTCTGTTAGTAATCTCTCGGCGCTTGCATGGCCTGGGAGAGGCTGACTACAGTCTTTGAAATCCATCACCGCTAATATTGCCCAAAAAGCAATTCACGGGCGCGAATGGCACGAGGCCGTGTCAAGAGAAGGTCAGGACCAGGATTCACGGCCGGCTCGCTAGGTGGGGAAGTGGCGTTTAGTTGAGGAATTCGCGAATAGATTGTTGAGGGCTCTGTAATCGTTTCAGCGACTAGTATGGATGAGCGAGCTGCCATTCTGTCACTGGGATAGAACGAACACCACACGGATAGTAATCATGTCCAAGCTCGCAAAGCCTATACCGAAAAGAGACGGTTGTACCTGTATGAAAGCCTTGAGTACCTGGCCTAGGCCGATGCTCAAAAACCTCGATGAGAGAGTGAGATCTGCGTTTCGACCCATGCAGCAGTTCGAGTGCTTGCGGCGGAGGCCAACACTGAGAGGAACTGGAAGTGATGGGATCTGCTGAAACGATATATGAGGAAGTGAGAAGCGGCGGCAGGATTGGATAGCCTGGAGTAGGCCCGTCGTGAGCATACAAGCCGGATTGTGGCGGGAGCGGGGAAAGCTGCCGGACAAGGGAGGCCGTGAGGGTCGAACCGCGCCGCTTGGAATCAACTTGACGACATTCTTCGTTCTCCCATTGTCGTTTTGTTCCTGCACGAGACTCCATGGATGCAACTACCCTTCTATGAACTGACGCCAGTGTCTGCAGTAGGGTCAGTAACTTGTTGTCCACCTCACTGCAAGGGCCAGGTATGCTCAAATTCACGTTCGTTAATACGCAAGCTTGTTACAGATCTGAGTTTGTTCGTCGATAGACTCAAAGATCTAACGCGAACAGAGCAACGAGGCTCGTACAGGGTAAGTGGGCTGACAGAGGCCTATACTTGTTATTCAAGTAATGTCAGCATCTGCCAGAGCCATGACAATGCTGATATGATGCAATAGCCGCCCGAGTCTAGCCATCCTAAGTTTGAGGAGTCACTGCAATGGGCTCTAGATCTCGTGCATGAGAGTAATCTCCGACTGCAGGAGCACGTAGAGCAAAGATCGTCGCGCAGCCCAAGATCACAAACTCCACCCGACGACTCGCCAAATATGCGAAGATCCCAGCACTACCTTGAGGAACGCGAAGAGCAATCTCCACCGACAAGGCATCACCCACTTCACCAAGATTATGGCCAATTCCTGCGCTCTAATGCCCCGTCGGAGGATCTCAGAAGGAATCCGTATGGCATGGTGGCCACAATTGTCGGAAACTCACCACACCAGACCACAATGCCTTCTGGGAACGTCTATATACCTCCACAGTCACCTCCAATACAAGCTCCGCAGTCTATACATTCGAAGCTACTGCCTTCGCCATCCTCACTGAACTTTTCAAGCTCCCAAAGCTTGCCTTCGATGACTCCACCTATCACGACTGCCCATCCTTCCGCACACAGTACTCTGTTACAGGACCTGCAACACCAAGTCACCGTCAAGACATTGGAATTCCGAACCCTCCAGCGCGAATACGACAATCTGCTGCAGAAGCTAGAGCGCCAGAAAACCAAGTGCGCGACGCTCGAAAAGAAGTTTGAAGTAACCGATGTGGAAATCAACACCCTGACAGACGAGAAGGAAAAGCTCCAAGCCCAAGTCGCAACCATGGAGGGCCAGGTAGAGGAGCTACAGCAGAGCCGCGACGAAGCCCGACGGCAGCTGATTGCCAACGGAGCCCAATACATGCGCATCATGGAAATGGCCAACAGACTGCAAACACAGAGCGCAGAAGACAAGAAGAAATGGGAAGCCGAGAAGACGGAGCTCGAGCAACGCATCCGTGTGCTAGAAGAAGCCATGGTGACAGGTGCCGAACACCGCACTCCCACACCAGCAGCACCAGGTACAGATACGCCTGCAGCCTCTTCCTCGCAAACCGAAACCATCAACGTCCTCCGCGCAGAAGTCGGCCGTCTGCGCTCCCGCACTCAAACCCTCGAAAGCGCCGTCCAGACGATGCGTCGCGAAAGCATTTCAATCCAGACCGCTGCACGTCAACTTGTCGATTCTAGCGACAAGATTGAGGAAGTGGCACTGCGGACATCATAAACAAGGAAGGGAAGGGAAAGGAAAGAGAAACAGAAAGAATGTGGGGAGTTGCCGTGGTAGGATGAATGCGAATAAAGAAAGACTCTATGTAGTTTCCGGTGTGCGTAATTAGGGGGGAAGAGGAGGAAGAGGCAATACATTTTCTTTCTTTTCGACACACACACACACACACACACATACATACACGTAGTTATGCAACTCACACTCTCTACATTATATCTCTCTTCCTTTTTTTCCAAAATTTACTAATATACTCTTACCCATTTCCAAGTTTAAAAAAAAACTTAGTTACAACAAGCTCTTTTCTAATCATATATATTGAAAAAAAATCCAGTAAGCTGGTATAGTTGCTGCCTTTCTCTCCCTTTCTCCCTCTGTCTCTATTTTTTTTTCCATTTCTCACTCAACTCTAGACTAGACCAGGTTCGAAGGAAATAGATGACAATGCTATTACAACAGTCATCTTCTTCACAGGCAGCGTGAAATCAAATTAATCTACCTTTGTAACGGTTTGTTGTGGTACGTAGGCTTACTATGCGGAATATGGATACACAACTATATACGTACTTACACCATGTTGGTAAATGCTCTAAAGAATAAGGAAAAATAAAGGGGCCAGAGCACAGGACAATTAAGCTGCGCTATTCTCTTACGTGATTCATACCCAAGTACCCTATTCGCCGCTTAGAAGAGCACTACAGTGCCCGTGCACCAGATGAGCACCATCGCCAGTTGAGCACCCCCAACAACTTAATATAGTCAACAAGATGAGGCTGTAGAGCCACCACAAATCGTAATAAAATTGCGCAAAGCTAGGATTATACTATATACAGGCCTACGAAAGTTTTGACTTATTCAGAAATTTTTTTGGAGGGCGTTATCAGTCGTTGCCGTCGACTACGCGGTGGAGCAGCTCGTGCAACCCTTGCGGCTCCCACCACAGCTGGAGCAACACCACCACACTTTTGACGCTTTGTAGCTGGCTTATGAGGTTTTGACGCTTTGCGCTTACCCGATTGGGGCAATTGTATAGCTTTGGCAGCGTCGCGGAGGCTTCTACGATGCTCTCTTTCGGCTTTCTCTGCAGCCTTCCGCTTTCTGGTCTCCTCCCAACCCTTCTCCCGCTCAACACGGGCTGCTTTTTGAAGTTGAAGCTGGCAATCGCGAGCTGCCTTCTTGATCTTGGCTTGCTCGGCTTTTTGAAGCTTTTCAAGCTCGGCTTGTTGTTGTTGTTGTATCTTGTTATCCTGAACTCGTTTGACGCTTGTTGGTGACCACCAAAACAGCTCCACCATAATACTCAGGATGATCCTTAAAGCTTGTAGAGGAATAGGG